AAATGAAACTTGCTTGCGATCCGCAGTCTAGGAGTACGCGACAGGGTACGAGTGAGCCTGTTCTGTCGTATGCATGTATGAGTGCAGTAGAAAGAATTACCCCTTGATTGCTGCGTGCGTTTAAGCCATGCGTTGCTATGATATTAGATGATTTTGCCGCGTCAGGTGGTTCGCGATTTTCTTTATCACTGTTTGTGTGTTCGGTTGAGGAAGCTGCTGTGAGATGCAGCAAGGAATTGTGTTTTGATTTGCATATCTTGCAACCGCCGGAAGGGCATTTGTTCGAAGCATGACTTGTAGAACGCAAACAATTGACACAAATTTTCTTTTTACGAATTTCCGAAACGCGTTGCGGAATTGTAAGCGCCAAGAAATCCTTGCAGTAATATATCGAGTGTTCACCGTTACAATGACCGCACTTTGAAGTAGTCGCGGCGGCGCAGGCGATTTGACGACTCGTTTGAGAACGCGGGTTATTTTTTGTATTTGGCGTGACCTTACTGGTAGCTTCTAGCATTTGACATTGACGCGTAAGGAATTTTATAAATTGTTGTAGCGTAGACAGATCGGGCGTGTCTAGAGATGATTGCCATTCTCGAGATGTACGTGCATCTAATTTATCGGTCAAAATGAGTATGAGAAGGTCATCCCACTGAGACGTTGGACGCCCTAACGCATTGAGAGCGTGAACGTGTCTCATTGCACCGTCCGCGATTTGACGCAGTTCGACGGAATTTTCTTTGCTCATGCACGGCAATTGCATGATCGCTCGAACGTGTGTTTGCACGATAACGCGCTTGTTGTCGTAGCGTTCTTTTAATAAATTCCAGGCCACTTCATAATTCAAAGCGGAAATCTCCAAGGAACTAATGACTTTACTCGCGTCTTCCTTCAAACAGCCTTTCAAATATTGAAGTTTTTGTACGGCAGTTATCGACTCATTGGAATGTATAATTGATTGAAACGCGTCAAAAAATGGAGACCATTCATCGTATTTGCCCGAAAAAGTCGGAAGATCTAATTTCGGAAGTCTGATATGCGCTGACCATCTCGGCAGATCAAGTTCACTCGAGGGAGATCTTGTTGTTGCACGCGACGGAATTGATCGCGGCGTTACGAGTTCTCGCATTCTCGCCGCTAAAGTGAAAAAGGCTTCCTCGAAATTGATGCGATGATTTTCCTCGCTCTCGTCTAGCAACTCGATTTCTGTCTGTACCGATTCATATTCGGACATGTTACTGTTTAATTTTGCTCGTCGCTCCTCGAGCTGCGCGGCGATGGTAGGCGTGACGGAAACAACCGAATCTAAAAACGTTTTTATACGCGTACACGAGCGTTGTATTACTGCGCGCCGCTTCTTGAGAGAAGCGAGATTTTGCTCGTTCGCCATGACGCGAAACTAGATAAAATATTCGTTCACGACAAGGGTGATTGGTTGGCAGCACTCTCGAACGATTGCCCTTACCTTGTTAACAATAAATAGCGCTCTGATGAAACGCTCGCTGGTCAATGGGCGCGAGTTTCCTGGACTGCAGTCGGGACGTCCGCCGGCGCCAATGGAGTCCTGATGGTTCCGCGGTGGTTATAGCTGGACTGGATCCTGGCTGTAGCTTCCTCGAGGAAATGGCTCGCTCGTTCGTCCAAGATGGCCGTGTGTGTGACTGAGATGCCGGCAATGATATAATGCACGACAATTTTGAGGTTATGGCAGCGGTTACTAGCCTCCTCGTACTCGTTTCTGAGGCTCGTCCGTAGTCGCTGAGTTCCTTGTTCCGTAGAAATCGCCAAGTATCCGGCTCGAAGGACCAAAATGTTTTGTCGGGGCTGGAATGCCCTCCACGTATATGCCGACGGGAAGAGTGCTTCGTAGCCACGTGGTCGAGGAAAAAAGTTGCGTTCCTCTCGTTTAAAAATATGTATATTTCAGAACTCACAAATACGTACAGTAGCTTGCTCAGAATGCCTTTCTTATTACTAATTATTGCACAAGATATTGCGTGCCTATGTGTGACAAAGGTATAACGTGGCTCAAGGGCCGAGAGCAGAGAGAGGACAAGAACGGCTCACACGCCAAGGCCAGCTAGAGGTGCCCTCTTGTGAAGTACAGAAGCGCCGCTAGGCGAAACGAGAGCGGAAAGCGAACGCTAGCGCGAATGCTCCCGCGGGACACTTAAGTGTACTAAACACAGAGGTTTATGAAACAAACATATTCTCCAACAGATATAGACAGACAACTAATAGAATTACATAGAATGAGTTCCTGAAAGTTCATGAAAGAACATCCGGAAATTCTAATTACCCGAGCAGATAAAGATAATATAACAGTAGCCATGGAAAGAAGTTCATACAACGGAAAAATGAATGATCTCCTTTATGACAAAGACACATATATAGAAATCACAAAAAACCCGATCAAGAACATTGAATCTTCACTCAATAAATCTATGAACGAGTGGCTCCACAAAGATTACATCACAAAACAACAATATTACAGCTTGAGATCAAGTGACCGTCCATTACCGAAAGCATATGGTATCCCAAAAATTCATAAAGAAGATTACTCATTGAGAATAATCGTCTCATCAATAAATAACTCTCTGTATAACTTAGGAAATTTTATTCGAAAAATATTAGATGTTAGCCTCCCAAAAGCACGCAGTCACATAAAAGTTTTCTTTATATAATATACTCTCTAAAACAACAGTAGATAAAGATGACATCTTAATTTCGTTAGATGTCAAGTCTTTGTTGACAAATGCACCTATAGATTTGGCTTTGACAGGAATAAACAATAGATGGTCATATATAAAAAATTCAACAAACATATCAAAAAAAGAATTTCTCAATATAATCAAATTTCTTCTTTCATCAACATACTTCACTTTTGACAATAAAATATTTAAACAGACTTTCGGAACACCCATGGGATCACCGTTGTCCTCCATAATAGCGAACATAGTCCTTAAGACATAGAAAACAAAGCATTATTCAAACTAGGGAAAACAATCAAAATTTATTACAGATATGTAGACGATATATTTTTAACAATCCAAAAAGAATCAATTCAAACGATTTTAGATACCTTTAATTCCTTTCACAATAAAATAATATATACTGTGGAAATGGAAAAAAATCGGAGTTTAAACTTCATGGATCTAAAAATCATTATAGACACAATCAACCATATGATAATAGATTGGTACCACAAAGATACGTATTCAGGAAGATACCTCTCATACCTGTCCAATCACCCTATGTGTCATAAAATAGGCATTGTATACAACTTGATTGACAGAGCATTACTACTCTCCCATTCCACATTCCATCAAAAAAATTTACAATTACATATAAACATACTAATGGATAACGGATTTCCATTGGATTTTATCTTCAAGCACACTCACAAAAGAATTAAATATTTAATAAACAATAAATTGAAAATCAATCCAAAAGAGACACAAGAGACGACAGACATTACGGAAGAGAAAAAATTTATAACCATACCTTACATAAAAGGCCTGTCTGAATTAGTTAGTAAACCATTAAAAAACAGCGTTTGACATAGGATACAAATGTTTTAATCGATTGACTAAATTCATTAAAGTTCACACGGATAAAACTCCTTCACATAAACAATAATATCATATACCAAATGCAAGGACTGTGATGCAACATACGTAGGATAAACAAAAAGACAATTAAAAACCTGAATAAAAGAACATAAAAACAATTTTTAGCAATCCAACGCAAAACTTACGGTCATATCCAAACATATTTTAGATAAAAACCATACAATAGATTGGGAGAACACAAAAATATTAGACAGTGAACCACACTATTACAAAAGATTGATTGCAGAATCAATTCACATAACAAACAAAAAAATGGTTTAAACATCACTGCGATTTATTGGATCATGCATATTTTCCGTTGTTGAACGTTAATCATCAAAAGGTGTCTAATTTGTGCGAGTGACGTTTAAAAACAATAACATAGACTCCTTATAAATAACACTGTATATCCGCGCAGAGTCAGTATCTATCCGTCAGGTGCGAGAAACACAATTCAATATAACATCAATGTTAGAAATAGAATCAGAGATTGTGTCATTCTTCATAAGTCTTTGCAATGAGAAATGCGGAAATTGGTAAGAGATTTATTTAAATTATGACCACCACCTAGCTTTGACTTTAATAACACATTAATCTGACAAAAACCGACATCTTTTACATAGACAAACATCAATTTCTGCAACAATCATTGCATCTGGAGACCGACCGAAGACACCATCCGACACTTCCAACACACTTTACAAAAAGGCGTAATATCAAGTAACTATAAGCTCGATCTAATGTCCAAATTTAGTTAAAATTTATTAATATTGGCTGAAGAGACAAAAGTAATTGTCGAAACGTCCCAATGCGTTTTTTTATATTTTCTTATATTTTTTTATATTTTTATTTTTAGATTTGTATGCGTTCCCATCTTAGATTTATCACGTTTTGATTTCAATAAATAAAAATATATTTCAACATCCATTTGTTTAAATTGCTCGTATAAGCCTAGATTAATTCTTATAATATTGTTTATCATAAAAGTTCTTTAACTTGTAAAATTTTTTTAAATTTCGTTTTTAAAAAATTTTTGAGATGGTTATATGTTGCATAATTATATTTAAAATGTAACAAAATGAAAGATTAACAGATTTTTGAAGAAGTACACGTTATATGTTGCATAATTATATTTAAAATGTAACAAAATGAAAGATTAACAGATTTTTGAAGAAATACACATACGCATTTGATAAATTTCATTACTTTATTCAATAATATTAATGTATGTTAATAAAATGTTATGTGCAAACTAAAAATTTTAGGTACTATTGTCCGAACGTGAGTAATGAATCACATTTACGCATTTCCATATTTAAGCACTTCACTCATCCTCATTCATGATAATAGAAAATTTATCATAATTAAAAGCATATCATTGAAATGTAGTAGGTGGTTGGCCGCAACGAATTTTCAACCGACTTATGCTCGACGAGTATTTCCATGCTGGGACGAGCCGGCATTGAAAGCTACTTTCAATATTTCCATAAAACATCATCGAAATTATACAGTTCTATCCAATATGCCAATACGGGAACAATCGGACGATAGTAACAGAGACGGTATAATATGGACGCACTTTGACAAGACTCCCATCATGTCTACCTATCTCGTAGCGTTTGTAGTGACCGATTACGTTCGTGTTCCTACTGAAGATGAGACCATTAATATATGGTGTAGATCAAAATTGGTGCCGCACATAAAATTTGTACAAGAAATTGTTCAAAAATCTAAAAAGCTATTGACAGAATATACCAACAGCACCTCTAAAGTTCCAAAAATAGATATCGTAGCTCACTCTTTCCCAATTATTTCTACAAATTGGGGACTTACTATTATTGGGTAATATATGCAATTTAAAAAAAATATTAGAATAACGCATTTCAGATATCTTGTGTCATATAAATTGATAATTTTTTTCAACTTTTGTGAAATTAATAATTCTGTATAATTAGTATTGAATATTATAACTGTAGGTTTTGTGAAAGTAGATTATTTATTATGCTGGAAATATTAATTTTTGTTTTAGTTTTTAGAATAATAGAAATTATTTTTTTCTGAAAAGAATAGTTTTGAAAATGTTTGGTTATTTAAATAAATTAAGATTGAAATAAAAATAAAATTTGTTTTTTTTGAATAATTTAAAAATTTAAAGTATATAAATGCGCCGCGTGCGCGCGCGCGCGCGCGCGCGCACGCGCGCGCACACACACACACACACACACACACACACACACACACACACACACACACACACACACACACACACACACACACACACACACACACACACACACACACACACACGTACACACACACACACACACACACACACACACACACACACACACACACACACACGTACACATAATATTCAAGAAAAAATATAATTTAATTATATTTGAATTTCACAAAAGTTGAAAATGATATAATTTTAAAATATAAATTACACACAAACACAATCACATACACGCACACACACACTCACGCACATACACACATATATATACAGGATGTTCAAAAAGTCCCCTAAAATATTTCAAAACGATCAACTATAATGAAAAATTTGTAAGGAACAAAGTTGTAGGACTAAATAAAATGGACTTAATAATGATAGGAATTTGACCTTGGATGAAGTACTCAAGGTCAAGTTGATTTTTTTAAATGGAATTTCCCATTTTTTATTGCATATTCTTATAGCTTATTTTAAGATCTTTCCAAAACATTATAATTAAGTATTTTTTCATTGAACACTTTTCGAATTATAAGGCTTGAAGTAATTTCTCAATTTTACATAAAATATCTAGTAAAATATTTATTTTTCGATTATCTTTCCATAATACTTTTATGTGCAAAATAAGGGAGAAATCAATTGGTGTAAAGAAAAAAATAGTTAGTTTGAGAAAGTTATTTTAAGAAAAAATATAATTGTTAATTGCAAATTACATTTTTTTGTTCGAAACAATTATGTTTTTTCCTTACACCAATTGATTCCTTTCATTATTTTGTACATAAGAGTATTAAGGTAAGATAATCGATAAATAAATATTTTAGTGGATGTTTTATGGTTTATATAAAATTAAAATATTATTTCAACTGCCTGTTAACTCGAAAAGTACTTAACGAAAAGTACTTAACGAAAAAATATTTAATTATAATGTTTTGGAAAGCTCTCAAGATGAGCTCCAAGAATATGCAATAAGAATAGGCGATTCCATTTAAAAAATTGTACATGACCTTCAATTAACTATTCAAGATCAAAGTAATGATCACCATCTTATGTCCCTTTTGAAACCATACAACTTTTGTGTGAAACATTTTTGCTGAAAATGGTTCATCGAAGAATTATCGAGATGCATTCCTTAAAATGGGACACCCTGTGTATATATATATATATATATACATATACATATATATATACATATATATATATATATATTTTTTTTTAAATTACAAAAATTTTTTATTGTAAATAATTACATATAAATATTAAGTTTACATACAATTATTTAAAAATTAAAATGTTTTATATTAGATACATTACATAATTATAAATTATATTACACATTGAAATGAACATAACTGCATTTATATAATTTTTAGTGAAATATTCCTTACATACAATGAAAGTTTCGATACAATATTTGATAAACTACATGTAGCGCAGACAACAGTACATGAAATGGCAAATCTATGGCTTGGTAATGTAGTTACTCCATTATGGTGGTCTCAGAGATGGTTAAGCGTAGGATTTGCGTCGTTCTTCCAAAAATATATTCTCAATCAGGTATGTTCAATAAGTTTTATTTGCATATAACTGAACATTCGATAAAAAGTTTCTGTTAAATTCAAATATAATATAATACAGCTGAATTATTCATAACTATATAATAAAAAGAAATAAATCGCTAATAACATAGGAGCCTGCGGGGGTCAATTACAAAAAGCAGAATAAGTGAATCTGATAAATTTTTTGGTGTTGATAACGAATCTAGCCGCAGAATTTCCCTAGTACGTCAGGTTTTCGAGTAATTTATAGTTAAATTGTCCAAAAATGGCAATTTCGACAAATTTCATGAATTTATTATAAAAGAACCTAATTTTTTGAAATATTTCTACCAATAATCGTATATAGTACTAATTTTTACCTTTCTATTTTTGATTGTTGGTACGTGATTTTTTTTTGCTGAGATGTACAAGCATGAAGTTATAAGAAAATTTATATAAATTTATATAAATTTACATTAACATCAATATGGCAGATCTATCATCTTCAAATTTGAAAAGGATTACATATGTCACGTTCAGTTGCCTAAAAAAGTTCTGTAAAAGTATATTTAATACAGTTGTTACACATTTTGATAAATTTTTCTAAATTTTATACCTTTTTATTATGATTCCGTCATAATGGATGTGCCATTTTTAATTTCAAAAAATGACAGATGGCGTTCAAAAATTTATGTTTTTACAAAATTTTGATTCATGATAAGACAGAGGTAACCCTGCTTAGAATAGCTTTCCCTAACAGCACACATGTCTAAAAGATGTCTAAAGAACATCTAGAAAATATCCTAGATATTCTCTTGATGTCTGGACATCTTGATGTTTGGACATCTTTCGGATATGTATGCTGTTAGTGTTATTGCATACTATGTATGACCAGTCTTATAACTTGTATATCTCAATGAAAAAAAATCGTGCAGCAGCAATTGAAAGTTGAATTAAAAAGTGAAGATTAATAATATATGATGCCATTAACAGAAATATTTCAAAAAACTCTCCCATAATAAATTTATAAAATTTGCCGAAATTGCCATTTTTGGATTATTTATAAATTACTCAAAAATCTAACGTGCTGAAGAAATTTTGCGACTAGATTCATTTTCAGTGTCAAAAAATCTATCAGGTTCACCTACTCTGCTGTTTGTAGCTAATCAAATTTAAAATTCCGCTGGCCTGTTATTTTAGATACTGTGTTATTTTAAATTACAATTACTTAAAGTTTAAAATAAGGTTAAAACGATTTCATTAAAAACTAATTATTATTTAATATTATAACTGATATTCTATTATTAATTTATAATATTGACTTTTTTAATTTCAATCAAACTTTATTTGATTAATATTAAAACCTATGTATATTTCAGATTTTCAAGGAGTGGCGAATAATGGAATACTTTGTTATTGATATTCAGCAAACAATGCTTCAAGATATTAATATGAATTTAAGCCCAATTACATTAAAAATTAATAATCCAATCGGACCCGAAAAAATTTTATTAAATTTCATAGCCTCCATTCATAACAAGGGTAAAATAGAGTAAATAAATCATCAAGCTCAAATTTCCGAACATAGATGATCTAAAGTAAAAGAAGCAATGAAATATAAAATAAATGTTTTACTGTTAAAATGTACTCTTTATTACAATGATCAATTTCTTTTATTAGCTGTGTTCACAAATTTATGGATGGCTAATGTATTTTATCACATATCAATTTTTGTATTTATTTATTATAATTGCAGCACCCGCTATAGTGCGTATGTTACAACATATAATTACTGATGAGGTATTTCGAAATGGTCTTATTAAATATTTGCATACGCAGTAAGTAATATATTTATCTTTTTATCTAGCAATTTTTTTACTGAAATTCAGTATAGTAATTCAACTTAAAAGTAAAATGTTTAAACTGATGTTTCTCGTTATTTTCATCCTTAAATTGCTCATATAATAAATTTATCAATAAAACACAATATAAGAAAAACTATTTTTTTACATTTCTAATTGAACAATATTTTATATTTTTCAATAAACAACACAACAATTTAATAATTATCAGAAAATTAAAAATTTTCTACTAAAACTTTTAAACAACAATAACTTATAAAAATAACTGATAAAAATAGCATGCATTTACAGATAATCCCCAAGAATTTTACAAAATATTTTCTAATCTTTCTCAGAATAAAAAGAAAAAAATAATTGTTACATTTTAAGTGTTTCGATATAAAATATATGAAACAATGTTAATTGTGGATTTATTTATATTTATGTGACTTATTGCAATATAATAATTCTTTTAACAAATCTATCTTTTATCTTTTATCATTTAGTCAGTTCAGTTCGGCTACTTCCGACGACTTATGGAACGCTTTGCAAGCAGTGCTAGATAAATCAGATGTCCCACATAATGCTTATAGATTGAAAGAGGTAATGGATACTTGGATAAAACAATCGGATTTCCCTGTAGTACATGTGACCCGAAAGAAAGATACCAATGAGATAATACTAACGCAAGAACATTTTGTTCCGAAAAATAAAAGTAAGAACGTTAATGATAATAAATGGTGGATACCTTTGACTTTTGCTACGCAAACAAATCCTGATTTTTCTAATACCTTACCCACTCATTGGTTAAAACCGCAAGATCGAAATGTAACGATTGATGGAATTAATCAAAATGATTGGATTATTGTCAATTTACAACAAACGGGTGAGTATCTTTAATATAATTTAATATTAAACTTAATAATCAAGAGACACGGTAGTGTCTCGCGCCAAGTTCATTGCGCGGCACTCCGTGTATCTATACGCGAGTCGGACATTTCAATAACGGCTGAACGAATTCTTACTAGCCTTAATCAATAGAGTGAGTTTGAATTGTATAAAGAAAATATCTTTATTTTTGCGCTGCGTGATCTATAAACGGAGATATCATAATGCAAAGTCGAAATATGAAAATTTTCAATTAAGAAACGTCTTTATTATGGTCATCAACGCACATGTACAGAACACATAGAAAGAGAAAACGTACATTTCCTACTCTCGACAGAAGATTGCGTTAGCGACGCTTTGCGATATTAATGGCATATATGTCATATGTGTCATTAGTGACATGTATCATTAACCGCATTTTGAGTAATGATAAAGTGCAAGTTATAAATAATAAATAATTAAATTATTAATTAAAAATTGGCAAGAGCCAGTACGGTATGATAAGGAGCAAGGTAAATAAATAAATAAATATATATATATATATATATATATATATATATCTATTTTACAAGTCAAACATAAGTATATATAATATAATACTCAGGTAGCAAGACGACGTCTAAAGACGTCTTTAAGACGTCTTTAGACATCATCTTGCTACCTAGGTAATTATATATTATATATATATATATATATATATTATATATTATAATATATATATTATAATATATATAAGTAAATTACATAAAAATATATATAGAATAAGTATATATAATATAATATAATATATATAATATATTATATATATAATATATATATATATAATATAATATATACATTATATTATATTATATATACTTATTCTATATATATTTTTATGTAATTTGCTTATATATTAAAAGAATATACATATATATATATATATATATATATATATATATATATATATATATATATTGTTACGTCCCCGTGTTCCTTCCCTGCGGGTTAATAATTGGTCACCCGTGATGTTCGGAGGAAGATCGTTTTCTGTCTCGTCGTCAAGAAGAATGTTTATAAACGGCGACCGTCAGCTGAGTTCCGAGCCAGCTGTCTAGCTGAGCGGACGCGTTTTCTGTATCGCGCCGCGACTTATTGTAATTGTACGAATACGTTGTTCTGTGTTGTGTTGTGCTCAGTAAAGTTCCTTGTTCGCTATTAAAAGAGTGTTCGTTTATTCCGCGCGACTGGCGAGCGGCCGTTCTCTCCGCGCGCGTCTTCGATAATAGTCGAAGTCCTCGCCGCGGGCGTAACATTTTTGGGGGCCCCTCCGGGATAAAACGAGCGACGGGCTGATACAACGAGCTACGAAGGGACGAGGAAAATGATGACGCAACATTCGCCGAGAGTAACCCGCTCGCAGACTCCGCGTCATCCCTCGAATTCAGAGGCTCCGTCGGAGGAGAATGTCCTGCAAACCGCGCTCCGAGAGATCAGGGAGCTGCGTGACCAACGGGAGCGGGAGCGCATACAATTTGAAGCCCTGCTGCGACAGCGCGACGAAGAACTCCGACGGCTAGAGCAGAGAATCGCTTCGCGGGAGGAAATCGAGCTAAGTCCTCCTAATAATATTGCGGGAACGGGTTTAAAATTAAAACCCGACACATTTGACGGGAAAGTTCCGCTGCGGGAGTTCCTCTCCCAGTTTCTTCTGATCGCGCGCGCGAATAATTGGGACGAATCCGCGAAGACTGTCGCTTTAGCCGCGAGTTTGCGGGGAAAAGCGCGGATCGTTCTGGAAAATATTGAGAATTTCGATAGGCTCACTTTCGCGGAATTAACATCGAAATTAGAATTGCTCTTCGGGGAAGGAAGCCTAACTCAAAATTATTATTCGATATTTACAAATCGAAAATAAAGATACGGGGAAGATCTCGCTTCCTTTGGCGCGGAGCTAGAAAGGCTGTCGCGGCTTGCATATCCCGAATGTTCCTACGCGGTTAGGGACAAGATCGCGTGCGCGCAATTTATTTCCGCTCTCCACGACGGTTTCTTGAGGAGGACCCTCCAATTGGACGGAATAACCTCTTTAAATTTGGCCATTGAGAGAGCGAAAATCGTGAAAACGATACAAGGGGAAAATTTTGAAAGAAGGAGGAAAAGCGCGAGTTTTCAGAGGGCGGAGAGGAACGGCGCGCGGGGGGATTTTGAAAAGAAAGCCGGGAGCAGCGAAAAGAACAACGCACGAACGGAGCATGAAAAGAGAGTTCCTTTGAAAGAGGAAAGGCGGGGGAACAATTTTTCCGCGAAAAGTAGAGGATGCTGGACGTGCGGGAAGACGGGGCATTTCCGGGCAGAATGCCCTGTAGAGAAGGGAAACGCGGTTTAGTTGAGCTTCGCGGGGGTAGCTCAACTTTCTCCCAAAAGGCCCCGATAGCGAATTGTTTTATTGATTTTGATGTTGCTAGGATTGGTCAAAATAATTTTTGTTACAATGGCAGGATAAATGGTAAAGATTGTTCTTTAAAAATAGACACGGGCTCCGATGTTTCTATACTAAAGAAAGAATTGGTAGACAAGGATATTAAAAAGGATATTAAAAAGGTTAGAGTTGAAAATTGCAATTTGAGATATCCGACAGGAGAAAAAGTTTCCGTTGAATTTCAAGTTGAAGTAAAGGTGGAGATTGGAAGGCATTCAATTTTGTGTCCTATGTTTGTTGCCGCTACAAACGATGATTGTATTTTAGGGATAGATTTTCTTAAGAAAATCAATTTGCAAAATATTTTTGATTTCGAATTTAAGTCCAAAGAAAATAAAGCTTTTAATTGTTCTCGAATCGAAAATTCTTATAAAGTTCCACCTATTTTGGAAAATCTTTTTGAAAATACTTCTTTGAATCTGAAGAGTGTGGAAAAGGAAATTTTTGCTAACTTTTTAAATGATTTCTCCGATGTGTTTTCTGAAAATATTACAGCTGGCAATTGTAGTGTTTTAGAGCATGCCATTAACATAAAAGACTCTCCCCATAAAACAGGCACCTCGTCGAATTCCTATTCATTTAAGGAAGGAAGTGGATAAAATTATTGAGGATATGAAGGAACGAGGAGTCATAGAGGAGTCACAAAGTCCATGGATTTCTCCAGCCGTTATGGTAAAAAAGAAGGACGGCGGTATAAGATTTTGCGTCGACTATCGGAAGTTAAACGATGTGACGGTAAAGGATTCATACCCTCTTCCTAGAATTGACGATATTTTAGACCAACTCTCAGGTAACTCTTGGTTTTCCTCATTAGATTTAAAGAGCGGTTATTGGCAACTTAAAATCCGTCCCGAGGACAGGGAAAAAACGGCCTTCTCTATCGGCAGGGGTCTTTGGCAATTTACCGTAATGCCGTTTGGTCTATGTAATGCTCCCGCGACCTTTGAACGATTAATAGAAAGGGTTTTACACGGTCTCTTATCGGAAAAATGTTTAGTATATCTGGATGACATAATTATTTTCGGAAAAACTTTCGATGAAATGTTGGAGAATTTAAATTTAGTATTCTCGCGATTGAAGGAAGCTAATTTAAAAATGAATCCTGAGAAATGTGTTTTCTTTCAAAGAAATATAAAATATTTGGGACATATTATTTCGGAAGAAGGCGTCACTACGGATCCCGAAAAGATTGTTGCCGTGAGAGATTGGCCGATCCCCCACACAAAAAAACAGTTACGAAGTTTTCTCGGTTTTTGTTCTTACTATCGTAAATTCGTGAAGGGGTTCTCTTCTTTGGCGAAGCCCCTTTACGTATTAACAGAAAATCAAGTTAAATTCGTTTGGGAAAAGGAATGCCAGGATGCTTTTGAATTATTAAAAACGATGTTATCAACTTCTCCGATATTAGCTTTTCCAAAAGGGGAAGATGAGTTCATTCTAGATACTGACGCGTCCAACATCGGAATCGGTGCAGTGTTATCCCAAAGACAAAAGGGAGAAGAGAAAGTGATTGGGTATTTTAGTAAAGTACTTAGCAAGACTGAACGAAATTATTGTGTGACTAGAAGAGAATTGTTAGCGATTATGGATTCTTTAAAATTTTTTCGTCACTATCTTTTAGGAAGGAAATTTATAATTCGTACGGATCATATATCGTTAAAATGGCTCATGTCTTTTAAAAATTTAGAAGGACAATTGGCTCGGTGGCTCGAAAGGCTTCAGGAATTTGAGTTCGAAGTTGTTTACCGAAAGGGACAATCTCACGGAAATGCCGACGGACTTTCAAGGCGATTATGTGAGACTTTAGGATGCGGATACTGCACCAAAATTGAAAAGAAGAGTACAGAGGGAATAGAGGAGATGGTCGCTCGTATTGCGCTTGCGAAAGAAGATCTTGAAGAATGGCGTCAGGCACAGCGAACAGATCCGAGCATATCTTTCATTTTGCAAGGTAAAGAAACAGGAAGAAGACCATTGCACTCGGAAGTTCCTGCTAAAGATATTTCAGCTCAAATTTATTGGCTTTACTGGGATTCTCTCATTCTAAAAAATGGAATTCTCTATAAGAAATGGGAAGCCCCAAATCTTCGAACAAGTTTCCTTCAATTGGTAGTTCCACGAGATCGGATCAAGGAAGTTTTACAGGAAATGCATGATTCCCCATCCGGAGGACATTTTGGAGTCAACAAGACCTTAGAGAAAATCCGAAAAAGATTCTATTGGGCCAAATGTAAACAGGACGTTGAGAAATGGTGCAGAACATGCAAGATCTGCGTGTCCAGGAAAGGTCCATTTGAAAAGGGGAAATCCCCGTTACAAATTTACAACGTTGAAGCTCCTTTGGAAAGGGTACAAATGGATATCCTTGGGCCTCTTCCTTTAACTAAATTAGGGAATAAGTATCTTCTTGTAATGGTAGATTGTTTTACAAAATGGGTAAAAGCCTTCCCTGTCAAAAATATTAGAGCTAAGACAGTGGCTGAAGTTTTTGTGAATCAGTTTGTCTCAAGACATGGAGTGCCTCTTGAAGTTCACACAGATCAGGGGAGGAATTTCGAGTCACAGTTATTTGGAGAATTGATGCGACTTCTTGGAATTAAAAAGACAAGGACTACTGCTCTTCATCCTCAATCGGACGGCCAGGTGGAACGTCAACACCAGACGATTCTCAATTACTTGGCGAAATACATTTCCGAGAATCAGAAAAATTGGGATGAATGGATTCCTATGTTCCTCTTAGCGTATAGATCATCGAAGCATGAGACCACTGGAGTGACTCCTGCCGAATTATACTTTGCTCGAGAGCTTAGGCTGCCAGTGGACTTGTTTCGAGGAACTCCTAAATTTGATGAAGAAAGGTTGCCTCCGGAAAATTTTGTGGAAAGTTTGAAAGAAAAATTAGAGGAAATTCATTCTTGTGTTAGGGAACGCATGGTCTTGAAGTCTTCGCGAATGAAAGTAAGATATGATCAAAAGGTTAGAACTGTTCTTTTTCAGGAGGGAGAGAGAGTCTGGTTATATAATCCTAAGAGAAGTAAGAGGAGGGCTCAGAAATTGCAAAGCAATTGGGAAGGTCCTTATTTAATTATTAAAAAACTTAACGACGTAGTTTACTGCATCCAAAAGACTCCTAGACATAGGAAAAAAGTTGTACATGCGGATAGGATAGCTCTTTTTCTAGAAAGAGACTAGAATAGTTAGTAGATTGGAGCCCGGAAATGTCTATCAGTTAGGAAATTTGAAGGAGGTGAGGGGGGTTTCTACGAAATAGGAATAAAAGGTAGTTGCTGCGTAATCTTTGTTTTCTTTTTCAGGATCTTTGATTTGAAGAAGGTTCCGCTTAGGAGAGAGAATTTCTTATCGTCGTCATCTGATTCTTCGTTTTTTTTTGAAGACCGCCTTACCCACGGTTTTTGATCCGTGGTTTTCCCGTGTGGTCTTGGGGCAAATGCCGAGGCGGGGATTTGGGGAGTTCTTAAGGAACGAAGGGTCCACGGAAGTTACCCCCCCCCCTTATCCGAAAAGCTCTCAGGGAAACCAGGATGTAGCAGAACGAACATCGAAGGTCGATTGGGTTCGAAACGGCGGATCGCTCGGTAACCTGAGGCAGCAGCCCGGGGTAGGGCAGGATGGTTCGTCGGAGCCCTGGAGTTGACATTTGGCTGTTAGTCGATTGGGACCAGAATGACGAAGTTGCTCGGTAACCTGTGACAGCAGTCTAGGGAGAGCAAGGAGACTCGTCGGTACCCTGGAGTCGACGTGTGCGGATGTACATTTGGATCCAAAATAGCGGAGTCCTAGAGTCGACATCAAGGCACAGTTTTAGGACAGCGTTGGATGTTCCCCCTCCCCCTATTTCTGATTGTCGGGACGACAACCTTGAAGGAGAGGAGGGGGGTAGTGTTACGTCCCCGTGTTCCTTCCCTGCGGGTTAATAATTGGTCACCCGTGATGTTCGGAGGAAGATCGTTTTCTGTCTCGTCGTCAAGAAGAATGTTTATAAACGGCGACCGTCAGCTGAGTTCCGAGCCAGCTGTCTAGCTGAGCGGACGCGTTTTCTGTATCGCGCCGCGACTTATTGTAATTGTACGAATACGTTGTTCTGTGTTGTGTTGTGCTCAGTAAAGTTCCTTGTTCGCTATTAAAAGAGTGTTCGTTTATTCCGCGCGACTGGCGAGCGGCCGTTCTCTCCGCGCGCGTCTTCGATAATAGTCGAAGTCCTCGCCGCGGGCGTAACAATATATATGTATATATGTACATATATACTTTTATTAATATAATAATCTCTTAGCAAATTAGACTAAAAAAAGAAGTGATATAATCTCCAAAAACTTACCTTTTTAAAAAAAGGTAAAAAAAGGGCGCCAAGTTCATGCACTAATTGCATCCAACTGTCATATTATCTACAAAAATAATGATATAAAAAAATTGCGCCAACTAAGAATAAAAATTTGTACAAGATAAATATAAGGATAAATACAAGATAAAGATAAGTATAAGGAAGAAAACTTGTACAAGTTAAATAGAAATATTTTAATTGAAAACATTGTTATACAAAATAGTAGCTTTAATTTTCAAAAATAATAATATTAAAAAATTAAAAATTAATTTAAAAATTGAAAACTGAAAATTAATATAAAACAAGAAAGTAAAAAAAATTTAATTAAAAAAACTTGGCGCTGCCAATAAAATTGGCATATATTCCAATTAAATATATGTTTAACAGCAAATATAATTGCTGGACATTTATTATTAATTCTCTTAAGATCTTCTGGATCTTCAATTAATAATTTAATTATTTTAATTCTTTTATTATTTTCACAAATTATACTTTTTATTTTAGAAATTTCTATGAGATTTATTCAAGCTTATTTATTCAAGCTTGTTTTTACTATTTTATCAATTTTATATAAAATAAATTTTTTACTTTCTTGTTTTATATTAATTTTCAGTTTTCAATTTTTAAATAAATTTTTAATTTTTTAATATTATTATTTTTGTAAATTAAAGCAACTATTTCGTATAACAATGTTTTCAATTAAAATATTTCTATTTAACTTGTACAAGTTTTCTTCCTTATACTTCTATTTATCTTATATAAATTTTTATTCTTAGTTGGCGCAATTTTTTTATATCACTATTTTTGTAGACAATATGACAGTTAGATACAATTAATGAACTTGGCGCCCTTTTTTTACCTTTTTACACTAAACTTTAACACTTAATTATTAATTTAATATAACTATTAATTTAATATAAATTTAATTATTAATTTAATATAACTATTAATTTAATATAAATTTAATTATTAATTTAATATAACTATTAATTTAATATAAATTTTTAAATACGGATTTACTTTTCTATTTGTGAAGACCAGTAATCATTAAATTTATAATTAATCATTTATCATCATTTACTTATTATTTATTTTTATTTATTTTCTATAAATTTTTATTTTTATTTTTATTTTGTATATATTCTTTATATTATTTACGTTTATAATGTATAATATAAATTTTTAACACATATATAAATGTAACAAAATACAAGAAAAGTATGATATATATGTACATATATTAATATAATTTATTAATAAATAAATTAAATTAAATTAAATTAATTTATTTTTTAAATAAATTATTTAATAAATTTATAGCATAATTTACAATATTATTTAATTTTAATAGGATACTATCGTGTTAATTACGATTCTACCATTTGGCAAAAAATTGTGGATTATCTTAAATCTGACGACTATACGAAAATCCATGTACTCAATCGTGCTCAAATCATCGATGACGCCTATCATTTTATGATGATAAATCAACATGATATCATAATGTTTTTAAATCTAATAGGCTATCTATCACAGGAAACAGAGTATACACCATGGCATTCTATGTTTGAAATATTAAGTCTTACAGAAGATATTTACAATGTTCCAGAAAATGAACATCTCAAAGTAAATAGTCACATAATCACTTAAAATAAAGAAATATATATGCGCACATGCATGCGTGCATATGGGCGTGCGTGAGTTCGTGCGTGTGTATGTTTTTGTGTGTGTGTGTGTGTGTGTGTGTGTGTGTGTGTATGTACACGTGCATCTAATTCATAAGATAAATGTATTCATATATCAATTACATACCGATGTAAAATTAATATTATTCTATGATTTTCTTAGTCATACATGGTTAAAATTTTGGATGGACTTATTAAGAATATAGGATATAAAGAAGATCCTTTCGATAATGATTTTACGAAACTTCAGAGAACCAAAGCTTTAAAATGGGCATGTACTTTGGGTCATTCCGAATGCAAGAAAATGGCCACTCTTAATCTATTTGAACATCTCTTAAGTCCTAAAACGCACAAGTAATTTACTTTATTCATTAAATTTTAATAAATTAATATGAATATACATGTGACAAAGGATTTAATAAATTATTAGCATTTTGTATACATATCCACACTCATACATACATACATATATACATACGTTTTTGTGTGTGTGTGTGTGTGTGTGTGTGTGTGTGTGTGTGTGTGTGTGTGTGTGTGTGTAATTATACTGATTTGTGTGTAATTATATTGATTTTTTAATGATATGTTATAGAGTTTCGCCAAATTTGAAAGAATGGACATATTGTAATGGCTTGATGGAAGCAAATGTTTCTATTTGGAATAAGTTATACAATATATATATAAATAAACCAAATGAAGAGATTTTGATGTACTTAGTTTGCTCTGAAAATCCTGACAATATAATTAATTTGTTGGACATATTTATATTGAACAATTCAAGACTACAAAATAGATATGAAATTTATTCTTCTATTATCAGACAACACGCTAAAAATAATGTAGTAGTCGATTATATATTAATAAATTTTAAAAAAACATTTTCAAGGTATTTTAATAACACATATTGATTTTTGTATTTATCCACTATTTTTTAATTTTTATCCATTTATCTATTTTTTTATTTTTTGCAGAAAGTTCGATACAAATTATGAATTGACTGGTATAATTAACAATGTGTATTCTAAAGACAAACTTGACGAGGTAAATTTTATTATTTTAAATTTTATATTTTTATTTATTTATATTTAAATTTATTTACTCTATTTTTATATAAAATTGTAGATTTTATAATTTTTCGATAAAGTATTATTGTCATTAAAATTTAATAACTAAAATGGTAAAATAGTTTTAGTTTTATTAAATAAATGCATTAAATATATTTTCAAAAATTTGATGAAATGATATAAAAAGGCGAAAATTTATTTCAAAGTAATAATTATATATTTATATATATGTTTTACATTAATTTGTTAGTACATTAGATTTATATAGAATGATGAAATTTAACTTTAAGTTGTCGTATCATGCTTTTATTACATAATACAACATTAAACTTCTAATAAGTATAAATGTAAATTATTTTCAGATAAGCGAATTTGTAAGAAATAAATTTGAAGAGAAAGTATTCAAAGATGTTCAAGACAAGATAATAAAACGCAAGGGACGGTTAGATACACTTGCCTCATTTCAACCACCTAATATAAAAGAGAAATTAAAATTATAAAATAATTATAATTAATTATAACAATTGCAACACGTATAATTATATATATGTTTATTGATTTCTGATATTAATTTTAAAACTTGTTAGAAACTTTCCGTTTTCTGTTTTTTAATTGAAAATAAGATATTGTTATAAGATATTATTTTACATTCCTTACATTAATATCTTTCTTTAGTCTTCATAATTTTATTCTTCTTATTCAAATATAATAATTATATTTTATATTACACATAGAATATAGATCTGTCTCTATATATTAATATGTTGTGGTCGAGACGATCTAGAATCATGTTGGGTACCGTCGTAAGCTTTTGGGAGCCTCGGGTGCTGGATGTAGTCGCAGGGATTAGTTTAGAATTTTGGGTTCTTTGTAATTTCGATAGTTTTTATTTGTCTCAAATATACAGTTTTTAACACAATCTTCTTCTGTAATTTCCTTTACCATTTTCTTGATTTGCTAGCGCACTTGGGTTATTTTTATTCACACTTATACTGCCCTATGGTCTGCACTTATGTTGATTTAGTGATTGACTGTCCGCCGCGCGTTCGCAGTGGACGGTTTTTATTCCCCTGATTTTGTCAGAATTCGGAGGGGATCGCCTAGCAATATGACCATATATGGTCATGTTGATCTTAGATGGAAGTCACAATTAGTGCAAGCAAAGATGGTTCAAAGTCGAACCCCTTTGCTTGCATTTCTGCCAGCTCAGCGAGCTCGCATATAGTTCGCTGAGGTAGATGATACGCGATTCGCAAATATTCCACTCGTTCGAAAGGAATTAATAATTAATTGATGTGGTTATAGTCTCGAACTATAAAAAATACTTATAATAAAATTATAAGTAAATTGAATTATAACATACACACACATACACACACGCGCGCGCGCGCGCATGTGTGAGTGAGTGAGTGTGTGTGAGTGTGTATGTATATATGTATGTATGTATATATAAAATAATTTTTCATAAGATGTATTTAAATGTAAAATAGACATTTTTTAAGTAAATCAACATAAGACGTGCTAAATCGTTTTGCTAACGAACACGACAATAATAATTATTAGAATTTTATATATGCGATATAAAAAGTTAGTTTGCATAAATGAGTAAAATAATATTGATTGATACCATTTGATATATATCCAATTTAATATACAGAATTCTATAAATATACTTTTATTGATCTCTTATAATAAATCATAAAATTATTAATTCAAGAGAAGGGTATGTGTTCTTAATTTATTTCTATCAATCTTGTGAATAGTCTTTTGCATAGTCTTGTGACTATACAATATATGAAACTATTTATATAGATTATAATTTACTTGGAAGTTACTGTGGCAATTACTGTAGCATTGGTGCAACTGTTTACAAAATGTTATTTCAAATAAAGTTAATGTTAGCAATCAGGAAATTAATAAGGCTTTACATGTAAAGACACGAATTTGAATTTTTGTGACCAATAAGAGTCAGATACGGATAATTATGCATCAGTTTCACATAAAATTAAAAATTAAAGTAAAAAATGGACGTAAATAATAAAAATTTAATTAAAAATAGTCAAATAAGAGTTAATAAGACATAGTAATTGAAGCGCAAGAAAGAGGAAAAAAACACTTTCATTTTTCTTTTAGTTTTAGTATATTTATTTATTAATATATTTCAAATTTTATATTTGCTCGTCATAGTATATGCACGAATGCCTTACTGATTTTTACTTGCCAATTTTTACTTGTTAATTTTTTAATATAAAATTAATTACAATTTATTTTTTTGCTTGCCGAAAAGCGAATTCGTTTCTTTTCTTGCCTACATTTCAGGGGGGAAAAGAGATATTAAAATTAAATTTTAAATTCGGATTTATATATTTACTATACTTTTATTATATATTTACTATAAGACCAAGAAAATTTATTTTACTTTATTGTTCGAAATTAGAAAAAATATATATCTAACACTGATCCCATTATGTACGAGTATGTCACATGTAGTTTGTATATGCATTATGTTCAGATGGATATAAGCATTTACTCAATATGTATATGAAAAAATCAATTTTCGAGGGAGCGCATTACTACATTGCTTTATATAATTGCAATATATTAATATTTCAGTTACTTTTTGTTTATTTGACTCCGTTTTAAACTACAAAGTTGAAAACGAAGTGAAAACAACAACCTAAATACATTTAACGATGTCATATAACTTTGTTGAGGTCAAAAATAACAGACTTTCCCCGTGGCTTCAAACAGTAAACGGCTTTAATCTCTTCGAGTTCGTCACTAACGGATGATATCTTGAATAGAGAAGACCAAATAATATAAGATACAAGTTCACTGTCTTAATTTCATCTCGTAAGTAAAATAGCAATCAGTTATATAAGTGGATATTAAAATTTGAAAGTTTCTTCTAAAATATTATATGTATTGTTTCTTTATTTATTATTATTATTATCTATTTTATTATTTTATTATTTTAATATTATTTACTATTATTTTATGTCCAACTTTTGCCTTCATCATCATTATAATAAAATCTTTACGATCTTTACGAAGATCTTTAAAAAACTCATATAAAATAAAACATAAAACTAAAATTACAATTTATATTATATTATTTTTTTTGAAAATATTTTTTACAGGTGAAAGGAGACTTGACATGACTATTTTAAAATTTTTAATCAACATTGGCCTAATATTTACTGCTACAGCGATTCTCTATGATAAAGATTTACGCAATGATTCGGCGATTAATTATCGTTTACCAGACAATGTAGTTCCGGTTCACTACAATATTAAGCTAATACTACATATTTTGGAAGGTAATTTTACAATATTTGGAAGGTATTTTTTTGAAGGAGAAACTAATGTTGACATCATAATTTGCAATGTAACGCAAAACTTGCATTTACACGTATTGGACTTGACAATAAATGAAACGGAGACATCGTTGTTTGATAACAATGGTATTAGCTATACACCGGCAACGTATAATTATAACAATCTAACGCAAATCTTAGTTCTTAATTTCAACGATGAACTATCACCTGGAAATTACACATTGAAAATGCGGTATGTTGGTATCATACATAAAGATTTTGAAGGCTTTTTTATATCACCTTATTTCAATGAGGAGGGAAATCTTGTGTAAGTAAATATTAATATCTGAAAAACATTTCTTTCTTTCTAATATCATATGTACCGTTTTTTAACATTATTTATTATTATTATTTGTTTTCTTTTGTCATCATCATATGATTATAATATGCTAAGATTTTTACCTACTAAAATATATGATTTAATGTGAAATTTGGTTAATATCGTAATTTGACACTGCGTATATATATATATATATATATATATATATATATATGCAATATTTTAAATACTTGTCTATATAACATTATTTATTCTTGTTACTATAATAATGTTTCCTTATATTTAAAATTTTTCGTATAATTTTGAAGTAAAATTTTGTCTTAATTCTCTTTTTAAATCTACATTATTTTAAGATAATTTTTGAGAGAGTTTTGTGTATTATTATGTTTAATTATGTTCAATAATGCATAATTATAACAAAATGTATTAAAATAAGATTAACAGATTTCTGAAAAAAATAAACACCTACGCATCTTGGCAAACTTCATTATTTTATTCCGAAGCGTTAATATATGTTAAAAATATATATGTATATCGTATCTCTCTAAACTTTACAAAAATGTTATATATTATTGTTCGAACGTGAATCACATTTATGAGTTTCCATATTTAAATATTTCATTCATTTTTCTTCTTGGTAACAAACAATTTATCATAATTAAAGGCGTATTATTAAAATATGACAGGTGGTTCGCCGCAACGCATTTTGAACCGACTTTTGCGCGACGAGCATTCCCATGTTGGGACGAGCCGGCATTAAAAGCTACTTTCGATATCTCCATAAAACATCATCGAAATTACACGGCTTTATCAAATATGCCAATAAGGGAACAATTAGACGATGGCAACAAAGACGGCATGATATGGACGCATTTTGATACGACTCCCATCATGTCTACTTATCTCGTAGCATTTGTAGTGACCGATTACGTTCGCGTTCCTACTGAAGATGAGACCATTAATATATGGTGCAGACCGAAATTGGTGCCGCACACAAAATTTGCACGAGAAATTATTCGAAAAACTAAAAGGCTATTGACAGAATATACCAACAGCACCTATAAAATTTCAAAAATGGATCTCGTAGCACTCCCGCAGTTCACATTAAATGCCAAAATTGAAAAATTGGGAGTGCAAAATTGGGGACTTATTATTATTGTGTAATATATGCAATTTAAACAAAACATCCACAGAATAATGCATTTCAAATATATTGGATTATATAAATTGAAAATTTTTTTCAACTTTCGTGAAATTAATAAGTCTGGATAATTAGTATTGAATATTAGTATTGAATATTAGTATAGATTTTTGCGAAAGAATAGGTTACTTATTTCATTATACTTATTTAGAAATTATGATTATTATTTCTTGTTCTAAAATAATAGAAATTATTTGTTTTTTGCAAAAGGAATAACATTAAAAACTTTTTATGTTATTTAAGTAATTTAAGGATTCAAAATTAAATTTTTTTCTCTTAAATAATTTTATAAAATGTAGATTATATACATTAGATTAGTATGTATGTGTGTGCATGCGACGCGCGCATGCACACACACACACACATATACACACACGTAAATACAAGAAAGAATAAAAATATAATCAAATTATATTTTGGATTACATAAAAAGTGAAAAAGATATAATTTTAAAATATAAATTATACATATACATTTTTAAAATACAAAAATTCTTTACTTTAAATTATATACAAAATTTCTTTTATATATAATTATTTAAAATATTTTATATATAATTATTTAAAATATTTTATATTAGATATATTAAATAATTATAAGGCATATTAAAATGAACATAACTGCAATTATATAATTTTTAGTGAAAAAAGACTTGAATACAATGAAAGTTTTAATACAATATCTGATAAATTAAATGTAGCGATGCGAATTGTACATTTAATGGCGCATCAATGGCTTAGTAATGTAGTCACTCCATTATGGTGGTCTCAGATATGGTTAAGTGAGGGATTTGCGTCGTTTTTCGAAATATATATTCTAAATAAGGTAGGTTTATTATTGTAAATTTTGTTTGGATATAGAGGTGAATATTTTTGAAAAATTATTTCTATTAAATTCAAATTTGATAAATAATACAATTTAATCAACCAGGATTTTCTATATGAAAAAATAATGTATTGCTAACAATTTTACATTATATGATTACTTAAAAATTTAAAACAGAGTCCTTTAAAAACATTGATATAATACATATAATATTAAATTTTATTAATAAAAATTTATTAAATTTTTTAATTTCAATCAAATTTTAATTGATTGAAATTAAAACTTACGTATAATATATTTCAGATTTTTGAGGAGTGGCAAATAATTGAATACTTTGTTGTTAATATGCAGCAAGAAATTCTTCATTATGATATAAATAAAAATCCAATTACATTAGAAGTCAATAAACCCAATGAAATTGAATCACGTTTCATTGACTCTAGGCATGCCAAAGGTAAAATAAAATAAATAAATCATTATTTTCAAGTTTCCTAACAGATGATTTAAAGGAAGAGAAGAAACAATAAAAAAAATTTTTTATTGTTAATATGTACTCTTTATCATAATGCTCTCTTTTATTAGCTATGTTTACAAATTTATAACTAATAATATATTTTATTATATACCAATTTTTGTGTTTGCTTATTATTATTGCAGCACCCGCTATACTGCGCATGTTACAACATATAATTACCAATGAGGTTTTTCGAAATGGTCTTATTAAATATTTACACACGCAGTAAGTAATATATTTATTTTTTTATATAAACATCTTTTTTGGTGAAGTATTCAGTGTAACAATAATTCAACTTAAAAATAGAAAGTTTAAACTAGTGTTTTATCATTAAGTTATATTTATTTTCATATAATGAATCTGTCAATAAAATACTATATAAGTGAATCTATTTTTTACATTTTTCAATGAATAATATTTTTACATTTTTCAACAAACTACTTTTATATTTTGCAAACAACACAACAATTTAAACATTACCAAAAAATTAAAAATTTTATTATTAAAACTTTTAAATAATGATAACTTACAAAGTGATAAAAATTGTATGAGTTTAAGCATTGCAGATAATCCCTGAAAATTTTACAAAACTTTTTCTAATCTTTCTCAGAATGAAAAAAATTAATCATTATTACATTTTGAATGCTTCGGTGTAAGATATATTAAACAATTTTAATTGTGGATTTATTTATAATGAAATGATTTATTGTAGTATAATTCTTAACAAATCTATCTTTTATCTTTTACAATTTAGTCAGTTCAATTCGGCTACTTCTGACGACTTATGGAACGCTTTACAAGCAGTGCTAGATAAATCAAATGTCCCGCATAATGCTTATAGATTGAAAGAAGTAATGGATACTTGGATAAAACAATCAAATTTCCCTGTAGTATATGTGACCCGAAAGAAAGATACCAATGAGATAATACTAACGCAAGAACATTTTGTTCCGAAAAATAAAAATAAGAACGTTAATGATAATAAATGGTGGATACCTTTGACTTTTGCTACGCAAACAAATCCTGATTTTTCTAATACTTTTCCCACTTATTGGCTAAAACCGCATGATCAATATATAACGATTGATGGAATTAATCAAAATGATTGGATTATTGTCAATTTACAACAAATGGGTGAGTATTCTTACTTGATATTAATTTAATCTGAATTTTAAAATATAGACATTTTTTTATTTATAAAGTTCAATAATTGTTTATAATTAATAATTTAATTTTATAATTATTAATTTATAAATCAACACTTTTATATATTTTTTAGTACTATTTATTTTCTATAGATTTTTATTCTTATATATATTTTCCATATGCTTTCAATATTTTTATTTATAATTTATTATGTAACATAAATTTTTAACACACATATATAAATGTAAACAAATGTTGAAATAAAAAAAAGTATGATATATATGTATATTTATTTAATTTATTAATAAATTAAATTAAATAAAATTATAAATATCTTAATGTCGCTAGTCAAATAATCAAAAGATCATTGAAAAACGTGTAGTCGACCAAACTAGCCAGAAAATTTGTTTATTAGTACAACGTTTCGACCATATGGTTGTGGTCGTTATCAAGTATATTAAATTGTAAGGATTGTAATTTATCATACATTGGGCAAACAAAAAGACATTTACGCGAATAAAAGAACATTGTAATAATATAAAGTTACATAAAACTAATCACTCGGTCATTAGCAAACATAGATTGGAATCCGGACATGATTTTGATTGGTCGAAACTTAATATTTTGCATAATGAAAAATATGTTTGAAAGAGAGAAATTGCTGAAATGTTCTTTATCAAGAAATTTAATAATTTAATCAACCTACAGAAAGACACGGATAGTTTAAACAACATTTACGACAAAATAATAAAGGTCACGTAGTTTCGTTTTCCTATCGTTGTGTTTAGTTTCTTGACCAAGTCTCTCACGGACTCATCAATTTCTCTTAAATTCAAATCTAGTTAAAGAACGTTTTTTATTAATGTGACTTGTGCAATTTACAAGATTATCGTCTATGCCTGTCTCCTGATTTTTATTACATCGGTATATAAAAAATGATTACACTTTAATTCGTTGAGCGTACTATATATTCAAATCGTTAATTAATTAATTTATTAATCTTTTCCAGTATATACTTGATAAGGACCACAACCATATGGTCGAAACGTCGTATTAATAAACAAATTTTCTGGCTAGTTTGATCGACTACACTTTTTTCAATGATCCTTTAAATAAAATTAATTATTTAATAAAGTTTAGCGTAATGTAATTTCTAATATTATTTAATTTGACAATAGGATACTATCGTGTTAATTACGATTCTTCCATTTGGCAAAAAATTGTGAATTATTTCAAATATGACGATTATACGAGAATTCATCCACTTAATCGTGCTCAAATCATCGATGACGCTTATCATTTTATGATGAGAAATAAACGTGATATCATAATGTTTTTGAAACTTATTGGCTATCTATCGCAGGAAATAGATTGTATACCATGGTATTCTATGTTTAAAATATTAGGATTTACAGAAAATATTTACAAAGTTCCAGAAAATGAACATCTCAAAGTTAATAGTCACATAATTACTTAAAATAAAGAAATATACAGGGTGTCAATTAAGTCCCGGGACGGCTGAATATTTTCTCATGTAAGGTATTTTTGAAAAAGGTCAAGGTCATTTCTGAAGTAATTTTCAACGAGGAATTCAACGGTGACCTTCAATTTGACCTTGAGCTTGACCTTCAAGGTTATTTGAAGGTCAAAGTGTTTTTTTTAAATAGGAACCCCTATTTTTGATTGTATATTCTTATAGCTGACCTCGAGAGCTTTCCAAAACACTATAATAAAATATTTTTCCCTCAAGCATTTATCGAGTTATGATGCTTCAAATCATTTCTTAATTTTACATAAACCGTAAAATATCTTGTAAAATATTCACTTTTCGATTATTTTACCTTAATACTTTTATGTACAAAATAATGAGAGGAATCAATTGGTGTAAAGAAAAGACATAGTTATTTTTAAGAAAAAATATGTAATTGTTAATTGCAAATTATATATTTTTTTTCGAAACAACTATATGTTTTCTTTACGCCAATTGATTCCTCTCATTATTTTGTACATAAAAGTATTAAGGTAAAATAATCGAAAAGTGAATATTTTACAAGATATTTTACGGTTTATGTAAAATTAAGAAATGATTTGAAGCATCATAACTCGATAAATGCTTGAGGGAAAAATATTTTATTATAGTGTTTTGGAAAGCTCTCGAGGTCAGCTATAAGAATATACAATCAAAAATAGGGGTTCCTATTTAAAAAAAACACTTTGACCTTCAAATAACCTTGAAGGTCAAGCTCAAGGTCAAATTGAAGGTCACCGTTGAATTCCTCGTTGAAAATTACTTCAGAAATGACCTTGACCTTTTTCAAAAATACCTTACATGAGAAAATATTCAGCCGTCCCGGGACTTAATTGACACCCTGTATATGCGTACTTGCATGCGTGTGTGTGTGTGTGAGTGTGTGTGTGTGTGTGTGTGTGTGTGTGTGTGTGCGTGCGTGCGTGCGTGCGTGTGTATGTGTGTGTGTGTGTGTGTGCGTGTGTATGTGTGTGTATGTGTACACGTACATATAGTTTATAAGATAAATGTTCATATATCAACTACAAACCGATATAAAATTAATATTATTCTACGATTTTTTTAGTCATACATACTTAAAATTTTGGATGGACTTATTAAGTACATAGGATACGAAGAAGATCCTTTTGATGATGAACTTACGAAACTTCAAAGAACCGAAGCTTTAAAATGGGCATGTACTTTCGGTCATTCCGAATGCAAGAGAATGGCCACTATTAAACTGAATGAATATCTTGCAGATCCTAAAACATACAAGTAATTTTATTCTATTCATTAAATTCTAATTAGTCCTCATAAATTAATATAAAAATACATATTACATAAATTATTTTATAAATTATTAGGATTTTAGACTCATATTCATATTCATATATATATATACGAGGGCGGGTCAATAAGTCCGTGACTTTTTGTATTTCCTGCGTTGTAACTAGAAAGGCAACACTGTTCACATCAACTACCTTCTGTCAATAGACAACTGCGCAATTTTTGGCAAGCTGCGTCATTTAATTTGTGTTTGACAGCCATTTAAAGCAGACAACCGCGTGAATTTTTGCGAAAATGGAAGAAAGTGAATTTCGTGTGCTCATGCATAAAGCATTATTTTTTGAGGAAAAAAACCATCACTCAAACCAAGGATAAACTTGATAAATACTATGGGGACTCTGCACCATCAATTTCAATGGTAAAAAAGTGGTTTACTGAATTTCGTTGTGGTCGCACAAGCACGAGTGACGCCGAACGTTCTGGACGCCCAATTGGAGTCACTACACCCGAAACAATTGAAAAAATCCACGATATGGTGTTGGCCGATCGGAGATTGAAAGTGCGCGAGATTGTAGAAACCACAGGCATATCACATGGCTCAGTGGTTTCGATTTTGAGTGATCACTTGGGTATGAGAAAGCTATCTGCAAGATGGGTGCCGCGTTTGCTCACAATTGACAATAAACGCAACCGTAATCGCCATGGCAAAATTTCATGAATTAGGCTACGAATTGCTCCCTCATCCACTATATTCTCCGGATTTAGCCCCCAGTGACTATTTTCTATTTTCAAACTTGAAGAAATGGTTAGGCGGAAAGAGATTTGGCTCCAACGATGAAGTCATCGCTCAAACAAACGCCTATTTTGAGGGCCTTGACAAATCTTATTATTTGGAAGGGATCAAAAAATTGGAAAAACGTTGGACGAAATGTATTGAGGAGACTATGTTGAGAAATAAAACGTTTTTTTGCCGAAAAAACTATCTTTCATTCAAAAAGTCACGGACTTATTGACCCGCCCTCGTATATATATATATATACAATACAGGCGGTAGGCAAAATAATATGAACACTTAAAAAATACACTATATTTATTTATTAATATGATATTGAGCCATCGAGTTTGCGTTTAATACAGCATTTATTCAGCTTGGAATAGAATTATACAATTTTTGAATAGTCAGTGAAATAATTGTTTCATTTTTCTATCAAACAATGCTATTTTTCAAGATAACGCACCTATACGCACAGCTATAAAAGTTTAATCTTCATTTGGACAGTATCAAAATGAATTTCAACATCTTCTCTAACCAGCATAATTACATGATTTAAAAATCGAACCACTATGGATTTGAAAAATAACGAGGAGCAGATTTACTTCTCCAACCTCTCTAAAGCAATATGAGAGATATTTTGATAAAAGGAGCGGACAATAATTCACTGGAGACTATTAAAAAATTACATGATTCTATTCCAAAGAGAATTGAAGCTATATCAAAGACAAATAGTGGCTCAATACTTTATTAATAAACAAATAGTGTATTTTCTGGTTTTCATATTATTTTGTCTATCCACTATGTATGTAATTATACATATATGTTGATTTTTTAATGATATGTTATAGAGTTTCGCCAAATTTAAAAGAATGGACGTATTGTAATGGCTTGATGGAAGCAAACGCTTATACTTGGAATAAGTTATACGATATATATGTAAACAAATCAGATGAAAACGCTTTGACGTACTTGATTTGTTCTGAAAATCCTGATATTATAATTAATTTTTTGGACATATCTACACTGAAAAATCAATATTTAATATCTAAATTAGGTTTTCAATATTCTGAAATTTTTGATTCTATTATCATTGAACATGCTAAGAATAATGTAATAATCGATTACATATTAACAAATTTAAAAAAAATAATGCCAAGGTATTTTAATAACATATTTAATATTAATTATAAACATATATTAACGTTTATTCATTATAAATCTTTTAAATTTTGCAGATTCTACAGTACAAAATGGGCATTAGGGGGTTTAATTAACAATGTGTATTCTAGAGGAACACTTGATGAGGTAAATTTTATTATTTAAAATTTAAAATTTAAAATTTAAAATTTTATATAATTTATATCTGATATAATTATTGATATATTATTGATATATTATTGACATAAATTTAAAATGTTATTAATATTTAAATTTATTTATTCTATTTTTATCAAAAATGATAGATTTAAAATTTTTTCGATAGAATGCTATTGTTACTAAAATTTCATAATTTAAATGGAAAAATATTTTTAATTTGGTTAAATATATAAAATGAATGTATTTTTAAAAATTTGATGAAATAATATAAACAAAAGGCAACAATTTATTTAAAACAATAGCAAGAATTATATATTTTCCTATATGTTTTACACTGATTTGTTAGCACATTAGTTCTATAAAGAATGCTAAAACATTCAATTGAAATTTTCGTATCAGCTTTTGCATAATACGGAAGAATACTGCATAAATTAAATTTCTAATAAATATATTTATTATATTGTTATAATAAATATATTATTAATATAATTTGTTTTTAGATAAGCGAATTTGTAAGAAATAACTTTGAAGAAGAGATATTTATATATGTTCGAGACGAGATAGTAGTACGCAAGAAACTATTGGATGCACTTGCCTCATTTCAACCATCTAATATAAAAGAAAAATTAAAATTATAAAACAATTATAATTAATTGTAACAATTGTACGACGGATACATATATATGTTTATTTATTCTTGATATTACTTTTAACACTTATTAGAAACTTTCTGATTTCAATTGAGAATAAGTTTTATAAGATATATTATTTTATATTTCTTACTTTACTTATATTTCTTTCTTTACTTTAATATTTTTTTAATCTTATTCTTCATAATTTTATTCTATTTGCCTTTTATTCAAATAATTATGATTTACGTTACATATAATATAGATCTCTCTGACTGAATATAATAAAATTATAGCTAAATCGAATTATAATTATAATTTGTATATATGTATATGTAATTATAAGTAATTTAAATTATAATTATAATTTGTATATATGTATATATCTACGTATGTATGTATACATATGTATACATATGTATCAATTTTTCATAAGATATAATAAACTGTAATAAGAAATAGAGTTTCTTTTTATATAATTCGATGTAACACATGCTGAATCATTCTGCTAGCGAACATGACAATAACATCTCTTACAGTTTTATATTTAGAAATTTATATATAAATAATTAATTTGTGTTTATAAATAAGATAACATTAGTTGAAATTCTTTGACCCATATGCAAGTTAATATATAGAATAAATATACTTTTGTTGATCTCTTAAAAGAATCATGAAAATATTAATTCATATAATTTTAATTTATTTTCAACATTATAAATCTTTCAACATTATAAATCTTATATAGCCTTGTACAGTATGATACAGATTGTAATTTACTTGTAAATTACTATAACAATTAATATGACGCTATTGCAATTATTTTCAAAATGTTCAATATAAAGTTAATGTTAACAATCAAAAGAATAATAAGGCTTTATATGTGAAAACACAAATTTGAATTTTTGCGAGCAATAACAGTCAAATGCGAATGACTATGCGTCAATTTCACACAAAATTAAAAATTAAAATAAGAATTTGATTTAAATAAAAATATTTATAAGATTTTTTAAAATTTGGCAAGTAAAATCCAGTAAGATATGATAATTGGACCGCAAGAAAGAGGAAAAAGAACATCTTTTTTTTCTTTTAGTTATTAGTATATTTCATATTTCATAATTGCTCGTTACAATATATGCATTAAACACGAATGCATTACCGACTTTTACTTGCTAATTTTTGATAAATTTTTCAATATAAAATTAATTTCAAATTACTTTTTCGCTTGCCAAAAGACATACTTTTTTTCCTCCCTTCATTCTTTTTTCCCTTTTAGAAGAAAAAGAGAGATATTGAAATTAAATTGCAAATTGGGACTTGTTAATTTAATATAAAACCAAGAAAATATATTTTGCTTCATTGTTAAAAATTTTCAAAAAACATATATGTGACACCGATCCCATAAAGTTTGTTATATGTAAATTGCATATGCATTATGGTCTAATAGATATAAGCATTTATTCAATATATATATATATATATATATATATATATATATATAAACTTTCGAGAGAATGTATTACATGCCTTATATAATTACAATATATAATTGCAATATATTAATATTTTAGTTACTTTTTGATTGTTTATTTGACTCCATTTTAAATTACAAAGTTGAAAACGAAACGAAAACAACAACATAAATATACCTAACGATGCCATATAACTTTGTTGAGGTCGAAACAGATCTTCCCCGTGACTTTAAACAGCAAACGGCTTTAATTTCATCAAGTTCGTCTTATATAAAGCAAGGTTTATAAAATTTTTTGGTTATGTATATAATTTAATATTGAATTCAAAATTAAATTTTTTTCTTTCGTATAATTTCAAAATGGAAAAGATATAAATGCGCACACATATATATGAAAGAATAAAAATATAGTTGAATTAATTTGGATTATACAAAAGTTGAAAATGATATAAATTTAAAAAAAAAATATATATAAAATGTTTTAAATTTGATTACGTCATTATAAAATATATTGACATGAACATAACATATATATAATATTTTTTAGTGAAACATCCTTTGCATACAATGAAAGTGTCAATACAATACCTGCTAAATTAGATGTTGCAATGACAACAGCACATGAAATGGCGCATCAGTGGCTTAGTAATGTAGTCACTCCATTATGATGGTCTCAGAAATAGTTAAGGGTTTGCGACGTAAATATATATTCCAAATATATATCTCAATCTTCCAAATATATATTCTCAATCAAGTAGGTTTATTATTGCAAGTTTTGTTTGAATGTAGGTGAACATTTTCGCAAAAAAAATTTCTATTAAATTCAAATATAATATAATACAGTTAAATCATTCATGATTTTATATATGAAAAACTATTGTATCTCTCTAGTAATAGTAATTTCTCTAGTAATCTCTAATAATTATAGATTATGAATATCTGAGATTTAAAAACAGATTTCTCTGAAAACATTGATATTATTACATGTCATAGTAACTGATATTCTATTATTAATTTATAATATTGACTTTTTTAATTTTAATCAAACTTTATTTGATTGAAATTGTATTGAAACTTATGTATATTTTAGATTTTCAAGGAGTGGCGAATAATGAAATACTTTGTTGTTGTTATTCAGCGAACAATTCTTTGCAAGGATATTAATATGAATATGAACTCAATTATATTAGAAGTTAATAGACCCGAAGGAATTAAATCACTCTTCTTTGACTCCAGTTACGGCTAAGGGTAAGATAGAGTAAATAAATCATCATCCTCAATGATCAACCTCTTATCACAATGATCAACCTCTTCTATTAACTATGTTTACAAATTATGGATTCTTATATATTTTATCATATAGGACAGACCGGGGGCAAATGTAACATTTTTTGTATTATAGGTCATTAATTAATTATCGTTAGAGATATAAGAAAAAGATTATATGTTAAAAAACTCCATTTATTGCTCTATTATTATACCTATGTTTCAATCTCAAAAGATAAATATTTAAAGAATTGTTATAGTTTTTCCAAAGTACGTTGATTGTTACTTTTGTCCTGGAGGCCGATGAAAGATAACAGTTCTTATTTTCGAAAAAAAAATGTGTCTTTTTCAAATTTAAGGCAACTTTTATTATAATCTTTTATTAAGCAAGATAACTTTTATTACAAATTTGTATTATATTATATTAAAATAAAAAATAAAATAAATATTTATTTTTATCATCCTTAAAAAAACTTAAAAGAAATAATCTTTGTTAAGCAAAATAATTATAAGTAATATCATAAAATAATTATACTTAATATCACACTAGTTTTGTACTTTTTTAAATCCAAATAATAGTTTAATTTTAAATAATAGTATAAAAATTGTATAATAACCATTTATACAAACGAGATTTGTATCTATTCCGAATCACAATTATGGCATATGTAATAAGAATCGCCTTCGGTACAGTTATAACGGAACCAGCCCTTATACTTTAATCATGAAACATATTACTTTCGTCCCCAAACACATTTTTTAAAACAAAAGCATTATAACCTAAATATGATGCAAGACTTACATTACACAGCCAAATAAAGTATAAAAATTTATGAATATTTTAGAAGAATACTCCGGCAAATAATTATGTCAATATATACTCAATATATACACAATATATACACTTTAATTAGGATACCAAATTATTAGATTAGATACCAAAAAAATAAAACAAGAAATACTTAAGTGAATAATGCAAATACACTAATTTCATTCCTGCATGTGCAACCGGCGCGATCATTTTACAACAATTAGCTGAAAAGGAAGAGAATCGGGGCATACGCGTTTGACTATATTGTACAAATTATTCAACATACGTATTGTGTAGTTTAGTAGGAGGCTTGTTGCTTTCATGACGCTATTACTTTAGTCTCCTCTATCGATTTTTGTATTTATTTAATTTCATTGCAGCACCCGCTATAGTGCGCATGTTACAACATATAATTACCGATGAGGTATTTCGATATGGTCTTATTAAATATTTACACACGCAGTAAGTAATATATTCATCTTTTTATAGATATTTTGTGTGTGTGAAGTATTCAGTGCACAGTAAAAAATTTTGTGTTAAATTTAACATATTTCACATGTCCCAATTTATCCACTCTAATTTTAATGTTAATTTAACAGAAGGCAAATATATAAATAAATAACACAAATAATATGTTTAAAAATTAATACAAAAGTGTAACACTTAAACTTTATCTGGAAATAAAGTTTATGTTAAATTAACATATTTATAATGTTAAATTTAATTAAAAGAAAATGTTATTCTTACATTTTTATGATCAATAACAGAAGAGACATGTCGATTTATAACATATGGAAACTGTTATAGATAGAAAAATAACACAACTTATCTGTTCATTTTAACATATAACATATTTCATCAAAAATTCGTGCATTTACATATTAATTGTATTGTTTTAACTCTTAGAAACGATGATCGAACGTGAATATTAACTCAACGCAGAAATGTCAAAATAACGAAATGATAATATGTTACATTAACATAAGAGTATGTTAAAAATGTAACATAAAAATTTTTACACGCGAAAATTTTAACAGAAATATACAAAATGTTTTTTACCGTGTGTAATAGTAATTCAACTTAAAAGTAAAAAGTTTAAACTAATGTTTCATCGTTAAGTTGCTTATAATAAATCTATCGATAAAACACTATACAAGTTCAACTATTTTTTATATTTTTAAATGAATAACATTTTATATTTTTCAACAAACTACTTTTATATATATGTATGTATGTATGTATGTATGTAGTTTATTGTTCTCCCTTAGGACTTACAAGGCGCTTTTCTAGGGAGCGTTCCCGAACCCTTTACATCTCTGTCAGTTATTTCCCCCGACCTGGCCATTCTGCGACCTTTGCATTCTTGTTCCGTACACCTCCCCTTGACCCCTCTTCCCCCCTCTCACCGTCCCTCCTCCTTTTCCATTCCTCGACCCCCCTCTTTCCCCTCCAATCTTCTCTTCCCGGCTGCTTCCCGTCCCTCCTCCTCTTCTTCTTTCCTTTCTCTCCTGCGCCTGTCTTTCTTCTTCCTCTTCCTTCCTGTCCTTCTCCTAGTCCTGCTGTTTTATCTCTTTTCTTTTTTAAGCTCCCTCCTGTTCATCAGTTCCTGCAAAAGACAGAACAGACCGCGCGCAGCTAATACCTCTCCTCTCCCCTCATCTCGACTTCCTCCAGTTCCTTTCACACTCCCTTCTCTCCCTCTCCTCCCCCAATTGACTCTCCACGTCCATACCTATACTCCCCTTCGCCCCTGCTCATCTTCCCTCTACCTCCTCCTTTCATATTCATCCCCCTCTGTCCTTTTCTCTCCTACCTCCATTTTTATTCTCTGTCTAACCTTTTCCCTCTCCCTCTTTTCCTTAATTATCACTCTCTCCCTCCGTCTTCGTCTCCACCATATCCTCCTTCCATTCATTCTTTTCCATATCCCACTCCCACGCTTTTCCATTTATCCATACTCTTCTATTTGTTGTAACTACCACCCTCCCCTTTGCCCTCTCCATTCTTGTCCTTTCCACTAACTTTCACCTTACCTTCCTCTCCTCCATAGTTAAGTCCTCGTCTACCCCTACCCACCAATTTCTCCTAATCTCCCAGCTCTTCACAAATAACTCCATCCTATCCTTCCGCTTCCCTATCTTAGCAATTATCACCATACCCACCGTCCCCTTTCTTTCTCTCACCTCGCTAATTTCTACCTTCCTCCCCAACTACTCCGTCACAATCTCCTCCAACACTCCTCTTCTCTCCTCTGCACTGCCCCTCTTTACCCCTTTCCACATTCTTTCTCCTCTCTTTCCTCTTCTGTATCTCCTCTCCCATTTCCCTTTCCCTCCGTTCCGACTCCCTCCTCTTCCTCTCCCTCCTCACTCTGTCTCTCCTTTCTTCAAACTTCTTCCATGTGTCCTCTCCCCTTTGCTTCCTTTCCTCCTTTCTTGACTCTTCTCTCTTTTTTTCACCTCTTCCTTCGTCAGCCTTCTTTCTCTTCCTTCTTCTTCTTCTTCCTCCACCATTCTTCCTCCACCATTCTTCCTCCCTTTCTTCGCCCTCCACACTCCCTTCCCCTTCGATCTCTCCATCACCCTCCTCTGTCTTGACCTCCTTCTTCTCCTCTGCCGCCTCCGCACTTCCCCTTCTATTTCACTTCTTCTTCTTCCTCCACCATTCTTCCTCCCTTTCTTCGCTCTCCCCCCTCCCTTCCCCTCCTCATCCTCTCCTCTTCCGCCATTCATCTCCACTCCCCACTTGCCTCTTCTCCCTTTTTCTTCTGTTTTCCCCCTTTCAACAAACTATTTTTATATTTTTCAATAAATAACGCAACAATTTAATAATTATCAGAAAATTAAAAATTTTATTACTTAAACAACGATAACTTATTAAATGATAAATATTGCACGAGTTTAAGCAAATAATCCCTGAAAATATTACAAAACATTATTCTAATCTTTTTCAGAGTAAAACAATGAATCATTATTATATTTTGAATGCGTCGATATCTTATATCACTGTTTCGACAATTTTAATTGTGGACTTATTTATAGATATATGCCTTGTTGCATTATAATTTTCTTAACAAATCTAACTTCTATCTTTTAAAATTTAGTCAGTTCGACTACTTCCGACGACTTATGGAACGCTTTGCAAGCAGTACTAGATACATCAGATGTCCCGCATAATGCTTATAGATTGAAAGAGGTAATGAATACTTGGATAAAACAATCGGATTTTCCCGTACTTCATGTGACCCGAAAGAAAGACACTAATGAGATAATATTAACACAAGAATATTTCGTTCCGAAAAATAAAAATGAGAACGTCAATGATAATAAATGGTGGATACCTTTGACTTTTGCTACGCAAACAAATGATTTTTCTAATACCTTACCAACTCATTGGCTAAAACCGCAAGATCGATATATAATGATTGATGGAATTGATCCAAATGATTGGATTATCATCAATTTACAACAAACGGATGAGTATCTTTAACATATACTTAATATTAATTTAATATAAAATTTGTAAATACGGATTTACTTTTCTATTCATGAAGATCAGTAATCATTAAATTTATAATTAATAATTTATCATTATTATTACATATTTTTAATTTCTATTTATTTTCTATAAATTTTTATTTTTATTTTTATCTTGCATATGCTCTTTATAATATTTACGTTTATAATGTATAATATAAATTTTCAACACGCATATATAAATGTGACAAATATTAAAATAAGAGTAAGGTATCACACACACACACACACACACACACACACACACACACACACACACACACACACACACACACACACACCACGCACGCACGCACGCACGCACGCACGCACGCACGCACGCACGCACACGCACGCACACGCACACGCACACGCACACGCACACGCACACGCACACGCACACGCACACGCACACGCACACGCACACGCACACGCACACGCACACGCACACGCACACGCACACGCACACGCACACGCACACGCACACGCACACGCACACGCACACGCACACGCACACGCACACGCACACGCACACGCACACGCACACGCACACGCACACCCACACGCACACGCACACGCACACCCACACGCACACCCACACACACACACACACACACACACACACACACATATTGGTTTAGTCAATAAGTCGGAACGGTTTTTGCCGATACATAACTCTAATATTTCGAAAAGCAACTATATTCAATTCAAATCGTGAAAGCGCGCATTTCATTCGATAGGTGATATTTCAACGTGCATTTAAAAAAAAACATAAAGATCAGTTGTGTTTTATGTGTTTAACATAATTCGAAAGATGGATAACAAAAACAAACATTTTCGCAATATTATGTTGTTTTATTTTAACAAAGGCAAAAACGCGGCACAACATCTAAAAGGATATGTGCGGTATATGGTAAGGATGCCGTGAAAGAACGTGTGTGCTAAAATTTCGTTTCGGAAATTTTTCTATCCAAGACGCACCACGCTCGAGTCGGCCAGTTGAGATTGATCAAGACAAAGTAAAGACATTAATCGATTAATTCAGATGTGTACTGTGGCCAGTTGAATAAATTTAACTCAGCGATTCACAAGAAACGTCCAGAATTAGTCACTCGTAAAGACGTTGTTTTCCATTATGACAACGCCAGAACGCACATGTCTTTACAAACATGACAAAGATTATTGGAGCTGGGTTATGATATCCTACCGCATCCTCCGTATTCTCCAGACCTTGTTCCTTCGGACTATAACTTGTTTCACTCCCTACAAAATTCCTTGAATGGACGGCGCTTTACTCCCGAAGAAGACATCAAACGGCACTTAAAACAGTTTTTCGACGAAAAAGACAAGAAATTCTATGAGTGAGGAATTATGAATCTGCCTGAAAGATAGCAAAAGATAGTAGATCAAAAGGGCCAATACATTATTGATTAAGATTATTGCCTTCTATGTAAAAATTATCCATTATTTACATGTAAAAAAACCGCACGAACTTATTGGCCAATCTAATATATGTATATATATATATATATATATATATATATATATATATATATATAATATTAAAAAATATAAATTAAACTAAATTAAGTATTCTTTTTAATTATTAAATTATTAAGTTATTTAATAAATTTTAGCGTAATTTATAATATATTTAATTTAATAATAGGATATTATCATGTTAATTACGATTCTTCCATTTGGCAAAAAATTGTGGATTATCTTAAATCTGACAATTATAAGAAAATCCATGTACAAAATCGTGCTCAAATCATCGATGATGCCTATCATTTTATGATGCTAAATAAACATGATATCATGATGTTTCTGAATATTATTAGTTATGTATCGCAAGAAGTAGAACTTTATACCGTGGTATTCTATGTTTAAAATATTAACACTTACGGAAGATATTTACAAAGTTCCAGAAAATAAACTTCTCGAAGTAAATAGCATATAATATTTTGAAATTACTTATTAGTAATATAATTACTTAAGATAAAGGAATATATATACACGTATATGTAAATTAATATTATTATATAATTTTTCTAGTCATATATGCTCAAACTTTTGGAAGGACTTATTAAGAACGTAGGATACGAAGGAGATATTAAGACTTATTAAGAACGTAGGATACGAAGAAGATCCTACCGAGAATGATCTTATAAAACTTAAAAGAAGTGGAGCTTTAAAATGGGCATGTACTTTTGGTCATTCTGAATGCAACAAAATGGCCACTGTTAAACTGAATGAATATTTTACAGATCCTACGACACATAAGTAATTTTATTCTATTCATTAAATTCTAATTAGTTCTAATAAATTAATATAAAAATACATATTACATAAATTATTTTATAAATTATTAGGATTTTAGACTCATATTCATATTCATATATATACGAGGGTCGTTTGATAAGTTTGGTAAAAAATAAAATACGTTATTTTTGAAAAAATTTATGTAATTTCTTAATATAGTCTCCATCGAGGTCTATACTTAGTCCATCAAATTTCCAATTTTTTAATACCTTCAAAAAAGTAGGCTGATAAGGCGTCACCAAATGGATTGTGACGTAATTTCACGAAAATTTACCAAACTTATCAAACGACCCACATATATATATATATATATATATATATATATATATATATATTTATGTGCGCGCGCGCGTGTGTGTGTATACACATACACGTCGATTCTTTTTTATTATATGTTGTAGAGTTTCGCCAAATTTAAAAGAATGGATGTATTGTAATGGCTTGATGGAAACAAACGCTTCTACTTTGAATAAGTTATACGATATATTTGTAAATAAAGCTGAGGAAGAAGTTTTAATGTCTTCAGTTTGCTCTGAAAATACTGATATTATAATTAATTTCTTGAACATATCTACATCGAACAATTCAATAACAAAAATTGACGATTACTATACAATTTATTCTTTTATTATCAAAAGATACACGGAGAATAATATAGTAATCGACTATATATTAACAAATTTTAAAAAAGTATTCTCAAGCTATTTTAATAACATATTTAATATTAATTGTAAACACATATTATAATTTTTATATTTATTCATTATAAATCTATTAATTTTTTGCAGATCCAAGTATGCAAATAGTGCATTAAATGATATAATTAACAATGTGTATTCTAAAGAAAAACTTGTCAAGGTAAATTATTTATTTTAAAGTTTACATTTTTATTTATTTATATTTAAATTTATTTACTCCATTTTTATACAAAATTGTAGACTATATTTCGATAGTTTGTTATTGTTATTAAAATTTTATTAATTAAAATTGAGAAATATTTTTAGTTTTATTTAATAAATACATTAACTATGTATATTTTCAAAGATTTGACGAAATAATACAAAAAGTCGAAAATTTATTTTAAACAATAGTAATAATTATATATTTTTCTATATGTTCTATATGTTATTGATTTCTTAATACATTAATTTTATATAGAATGATGAAATTTAACTGAAGTTGTTATATCATGCTTTTATTACATAATACGGCATTAAATTTGTAATAAGAATAAATATAAATTAATTTTAGATAAGCGAATTTGTAAGAAATGAATTTGAAGACAAAGTATTCAAAGATGTTCAGGACAAGATAATAGAACGCATGAGATTATTAAATACACTTGCCTCATTTCAACCATCTAACATAAAAGAGCAATTAAAATTATAAAATAATTATAATTAATTATAACAATTGCAAAACGTTTAATTATGTATATGTTTAGTTATTTTTTATATTAATTTTAAAACTTGTCAGAAACTTCCCGTTTTTCAATTGAGAATAAGTTTTATAAGATATACTATTTTATATTTCTTACGTTAATATCTTTCTAAGTTTAGTCTTCATAATTTTATTCCTTTTGTCTTTTATTCAAATTATGTTTTATGTTCCATATAATATAGATCTCTCTGACTGAATATAATAAAATTATAAGTAAATCGAATTATAATTATAATTTGTATATATGTATTTATAATTATAAGTAAATAGAATTATAATTATAATTTATATATATGTATATATCTATGTATGTACATATACATATGTATGAATTTTTCATAAGTATATTAAACTGTAACGAGAAATAGACGTTTCTTTTATATAATTCGATGTAACACATTGTGAATCATTCTGCTAGCGAACACGATAATAACAGCTATTACAGTTTTATATTTAGAAATTTATAAATAAAAAATTAATTAGCATTTATAAATAAATAATATTTCTTGAAGTTATTTGATCCATATGCAAGTTAATATATAGAATAAATATACTTTTATTGATAAATATACTTTATCTTAAAAAAAGTCATGAAATTATTAATTTATATAGTTTTAATTTATTTTTAGCCTTTCGACATTATAAATCTTATACAGCATTGTATAGTATTACAAAGATTCTAATTTACTTGCAAATTACTGTGACAATTAATATGACGCTATTACAATTGTTTTGAAAGTGTTCAATATGAAGTTAATGTTAACAATCAAAAGAATATTAAGGCTTTACATGTGAAAGCACAAATTTGAATTTTTGGGAGGAATAAAAGTTAAATGCGAATAATTATGCGTTAGTTTAATACAAAATTAAAAATTAAAACAAAAAATTGATTTAAATAAAGATATTTAAAAATTATTTAAAAATTGGCAAGTAAGATCCATTAAGATATGATAATTGGAGCGCAAGCAACAGGAAGAAGAACACCTTTCTTTTTCTTTTAGTTATTAGTATATTTGATATTTTATACCTGTTCGTTACGATATGCATTAAACACGAATGCCTCACTGGCTTTTACTTACTAATTTTTGATAAATTTTTTAACATAAAATTAATTTCATATTACTTTTCCGCTTGCCGAAAGACGAACTTCTTTTTCTCCTTAATTCTTTTTTCCTTTTTAGGAAAGAAAGAGAAATATTAAAATTAAATTATAAAATTGGGATTTATTAATTTACTATCAGAAAATTTCATTTAACTTTATTGTTTAAATTATTCCAAAAAACATATGTGTGACACCGATCCAATGAAATTTGTTACATGTAGATTGCTGTGATTGATATGTATCATGCCTGAATACATATAGCATTTATTCTATATGTATATAAAAAAATGAACTTTCGAAGGAAGCATTACATGCCTTATATAATTACAACATGTTAATATTTCAGTTATTTTTCGATTGTTTATTTGACTCCGTTTTAAACTACAAAGTTGAAAACGAAGCGAAAACAATAACATAAATATATTTAATGATGCCATATAACTTTGTTGAGGTCGAAAATAACAAACCTTCTCCGTGACTTTAAACGGCAAACGGCTTTAATTTCCTCGAGTTGTCACTAACGGATTTATTTTTGATCAGAGAAGACCAAATAATAGAACATACAAATTCACAGTCTAAATTTCATCTCGTAAAATAGAAATCAGTTATATGAGTAGATATTAAAATTTGAAAGATTCTTTTAAAATATGTATTGTTTTATATGTATTGTTTCTTTATTTTTAATTTATTATTATTATCTATTTTAATATTTTATTATTTCTTTCTGCCTTCATTATCGTTATAATAACATCTTTATGCTAATATCTTATGCTCTCTAAAACTCATATAAAATAAAATATAAAACCAAAATTACAGTTTATATTATATTATTTTTATTCTAAAAATATGTTTGTACAGATATCCTAAAGGAGATTTGACATGGCTATTTTGAAATTTTTAATAAATATTAGCCTCATATTTACTGCTACAGCGACTTTGTATGATGAAGATTCAAGCAATGATTTGATTAATGTTCAGGAAGATTCAAGCAATGATTCAGTGATTAATTACCGTTTACCAGATAATGTAGTTCCGGTACATTACAATATTAAGCTAATACCGAACATTGTAGAAGATAATTTTACCTTTGAAGGAGAATCTAATATTAACATCACAATTCGTCATGTAACGCAAAACTTGAGTTTACACGTTTTGGAATTGACAATAAACGAAACGGAGACATCGTTGTTTGATAACAATGGTATTATCTATACACCGGCAATGTATAATTATGACAATATAACACAAATCTTAGTTCTTAATTTCAATGATGAGCTGTCACCTGGAAATTATATTTTGAAAATGCAATATGTTGGTATCCTACATAACGACTTGCAAGGCTTTTTCATATCATCTTATATAAACGAGGAAGGAAATGATGTGTAAGTAAATAGTATCAAAAAATTTTTTCTACTATCATATATATTATTATTTTTAGTTATTTATTATTACTATTTATTTGCTACTTTTATCATTATCATGTTTTTATAATATGCTAAGGTCTTTAACTACTATATAAAATATATGATTTAATGTGAAATTGTGTGTGTATATTTAATATCGTAATTTCATAATTGCTTATATATATGCAATGTTTTAAATAATTGTCTACATAATATTATGCATTCTTGATAATATAATAATATGTTTTCTTATATTTTAAATTTTTCTTAAAACTTCGAAGTAAAATTATGTCCTAATTTCTTTTTAAATATGAATCTAATAATATTTTTAGAGATTTCCAACCCATTTTAATAAATATCTAATATAAATTTTAACAAAATTTTTGAGAGGTTTGTATTATTATGTTTAATTATGTTCAATAATGTATAATTATTTAATAAAATGTAACAAAATGCGATTAACAGATTTTTGAAAGAATAGATATATGCATTTTGACAAACTTCGTTACTTTATTTAATAGTGATAATGTACGATAATAATATATAGCGTCTCTAGACTTTACAAAAATATTATACACTATGGTTCAAACGTGAATAACTTTTACTTACTTAAACGTGCGTTTTCATATTTAAATTATGCATTCTTAATTGTCCTCATTTATGGTAACAGAAAATTTTATAATCAAAATCGTTTTATTGAAATGTGGTAGGTGGTTAGCTGCAACGCACTTTGAACCAACATATGCGCGACGAGCTTTCCCATGTTGGGACGAGCCAGCATTAAAAGCTACTTTCGATATCTCCATAAAACATCATCGAAATTATACAGTTCTATCCAATATGCCAATACGGAAACAATTGGACGATGGTAACAAAAACAGCATGATATGGACGCATTTTGACACGACTCCCATCATTTCTACCTATCTCGTAGCGTTTGTAGTGGCCGATTTTGTTCGCGTTCCTACTGAAGATGAGACCATTAATCTATGGTGTAGATCGAAATTGGTACCGGACACAAAACTTGCACAAGAAGTTGTCCAAAAATCTAAAACGCTATTGGCAGAATATACCAACAGCACCTCTAAAGTTCCAAAAATGGATCTCGTAGCACTTCCGCGATACAGAACTGGTGCTATGGCAAATTGGGGACTTATTATTATTGTGTAATATAATGCAAAAAATAATCAATAGAATAAGATATATTTCAGATATCTTGTGTTATATAAATTGAAGTATTTTTTAACTTTTGCGAAACAAATAATTCTATATAATTAGTATTGAACTATATTATAACTATAGAATTTTACGAAAAAATATATTATTTATTTACTGGAAATTATAATTATTTATCCTGGAAATTATAAGTATTATTTAATGTGTCATTTTTTAAAATAATAGAAATTAATTTTTTTTTATATAAAGAAAGGTTTATAAAATTTTTTGGTTATGTATGTAATTTAATATTGAATTCAAAATTAAATTTTTTTCTTTTGAATAATTTCAAAATGGAAAAGATATAAATGCGCACACATATACAGGGTGTCAATTAAGTCCCGGGACGGCTGAATATTTTCTCATGTAAGGTATTTTTGAAAAAGGTCAAGGTCATTTCTGAAGTAATTTTCAACGAGGAATTCAACGGTGACCTTCAATTTGACCTTGAGCTTGACCTTCAAGGTTATTTGAAGGTCAAAGTGTTTTTTTAAAATAGGAACCCCTATTTTTGATTGTATATTCTTATAGCTGACCTCGAGAGCTTTCCAAAACACTATAATAAAATATTTTTCCCTCAAGCATTTATCGAGTTATGATGCTTCAAATCATTTCTTAATTTTACATAAACCGTAAAATATCTTGTAAAATATTCACTTTTCGATTATTTTACCTTAATACTTTTATGTACAAAATAATGAGAGGAATCAATTGGCGTAAAGAAAACATATAGTTGTTTTTAAGAAAAAATATGTAATTTGCAATTAACAATTCCATATTTTTTCTTAAAAACAACTGTATGTTTTCTTTAAACCAATTGATTCCTCTCATTATTTTGTACATAAAAGTATTAAGGTAAAATAATCGAAAAGTGAATATTTTACAAGATATTTTACGGTTTATGTAAAATTAAGAAATGATTTGAAGCATCATAACTCGATAAATGCTTGAGGGAAAAATATTTTATTATAGTGTTTTGGAAATCTCTCGAGGTCAGCTATAAGAATATACAATCAAAAATAGGGGTTCCTATTTAAAAAAAACACTTTGACCTTCAAATAACCTTGAAGGTCAAGCTCAAGGTCAAATTGAAGGTCACCGTTGAATTCCTCGTTGAAAATTACTTCAGAAATGACCTTGACCTTTTTCAAAAATACCTTACATGAGAAAATATTCAGCCGTCCCGGGACTTAATTGACACCCTGTATATGAAAGAATAAAAATATAGTTGAATTAATTTGGATTATACAAAAGTTGAAAATGATATAAATTTAAAAAATATATGTATATAAAATGTTTTATATTAGATTACGTCATTATAAAATATATTGACATGAACATTTATATAATATTAACATTTATATAATATTATTTTAGTGAAACATACTTTGCATACAATGAAAGTGTCAATACAATACCTGCTAAACTGGGTGTTGCTGTGATAATAGCACATGAAATGGCGCATCACTGGCTTAGTAATGTAGTCACTCCATTTTGGTGGTCTCAGATATGGTTAAGTGAAGGATTTGCGACATTCTTCCAAATATATATTCTCAATCAGGTAAGTATTATTGCAAGTTTTATTTGAACGTAGGTGAGCATTCTCGCAAAAACGTTTTTATTAAATTTAAATATAATATAATACAGTTGAATCATTCATGATTTTATATATGAAAAACTATTGTATCTATTTAGTAATAGTAATTTCTCTAGTAATCTCTAATAATTTCAGATTATGAATATTTGAGAATTTAAAAACAGATTTGAAACAGATTACTCTAAAAACATTATATTATTACATGTACAACATTATATTATTACATGATATTATTACATGTCATAGTAACTGATATTCTATTATTAATTTATAATATTGATTTTTTTAATTTCAATCAAACTTTATTTGATTGATATTAAAACTTATGTATATTTCAGATGTTCGAGGATTTGCGAATAATGGAATACTTTGTTGTTGGTATTCAGCAAACAATTCTTCACAAGGATATTAATATGAATATGACACCAATTACATTAGATGTTAGTAGCCCAGAAGAAATTAAATCACTCTTCCTTGATTCCAGTTATGGCAAAGGTAAGATAGAATAAATAAATCATTATCCTTAAATTTCGGAATGTAGATGATTTAAAGTAAAAAAACAATAAAATAAAATACATTTTTTTACTGTTGACATGTAATGTTCTTTATCACAATGATCAACCTCTTCTATTAGCTATGTTTACGAATTGGATTTTTGTATATTTTATCATATAAGGAAGACCGGGCGCAAAAGTAACATTTTTTTTGTATTATAGGTCATTAATTAATTATCGTTAGAGATATAAAAAAAAGATTATATGTAGAAAGACTCCATTTATTGCTCTATTATTATACCTCTGTTTCAATCTCAAATGATAAATATTTAAAGAATTATTATAGCTTTCCGGAAGTACGTTAATTGTTACTTTTGTCCTGAATGCGGGGGATGAAAGTAACATAGCCTGTGGATGAAAGTAACAGTTCTTATTTCCGGGAAAATAAAATGAATATGTCTTTTTTAAATTAAAGGCAACTTTTATTATAATCTTTTGTCAACCAAGATAACCTTTATTATAAATTTGTATTATATAAAATATTATATAAAATATTATATAAAATATTATATAAAATATTATATGAAATTTGTATTATTAAAATAAAAAATAAATTAAATATTTACTTTATCTCCTTTAAATAACTTAAAAGAAATAAATTTCGTTAAACAAAATAATTATAAGTAATATCGTAAAATAATTATACTTAATATTACACTAGTTTTGTACTTTTTTAAGTCTAAATAATAGTTTAATTCTAAATAACAGTATAAAATTTGTATGATAAATACTTATACAAAAGAGATTGGTATCTATTTCCGAATTACAATTATGTCATACGTACTAAAAATCGCCTTGAGTACAATTATTATGGGACCAGCTCTTATATTTTAATCATTAAAACATGTTATTTTCGTCTACAGAATGTCGTGTTATTTTCGTCTCCAAACACATATTTTAGAATACTAGACAACACAGGCGCGCGCGATGCGCGCGCTATTGAGCTATTACATAAAAAAAATAAAATATTCAAGATATATAATATATATTCCAATATATACTTAATGTTATAATTAAATTTAATAATATTAAATAATAAAACTTCTTTCTCTATTTCTCTGTCTTACCATAAATAACATAATTATAAATAATAATATTAAAATATTGTGTACAATATAACACAACGTAAATACCTTCTTTTCTTTTTCTTTCTCTCTCTTTTTTTGCTTCTTTTAATAAAGCTTCTTTCTCTATTTCTCTGTCTCTCTTCTCTCTCTCTCCTTTTCTCCCTCTCTCTGCTTTTTTTAATAAAATGTCTTTATCTCGTTCTCTTATCTTCTCTCTTTCTCTCTTTTTCCTACTTTAAATAAAACATTTACCATAAATAACATATAATTATAAATGTAACTAATAATATTAAAATATTGAATACAACATAACACAACATAATAATTATAATAATATGATAATCTCTCTCCGTCCCTGCCTCTCTTTCTCTTCCTTTCTCTCTCTCTCTCTCTCTCTATATATATATATATATATATATATATATATATATATATAGATCCTTCCTCTCTCTCTCTCTCTCTCTCTCTCTATATATATATATATATATATAAAATAAATTAAAGTTAAAGAGAAAAAGGGTGGAAGAAGTGGAAAGACAAATAGAGAAAAGGTATTTTATATATATATATATATATATATATATATATATATATATATATAATACCTTTTCTCTATTTGTCTTTCCGCTTCTTCCACCCTTTTTCTCTTTAACTTTAATTTATTTTATATTTCTTCTTTCCTTAACGTAACAGTCAACCTGTTAAATTGTCAAACTGTCAAACGATACGAATGAAGCAAGTCGCTCAACAAATTACTATTGACGACCAATAACCAATCATCATCGCGGAAAAGAGGCAACAATGCCAATAACATGCCTTTCTTAGAGAGGGATATATATATATATATATATATATATATATATAATACCTTTTCTCTATTTGTCTTTCCGCTTCTTCCACCCTTTTTCTCTTTAACTTTAATTTATTTTATATTTCTTCTTTCCTTAACGTAACAGTCAACCTGTTAAATTGTCAAACTGTCAAACGATACGAATGAAGCAAGTCGCTCAACAAATTACTATTGACGACCAATAACCAATCATCATCGCGGAAAAGAGGCAACAATGCCAATAACATGCCTTTCTTAGAGAGGGAAAAGCATTATAACCTAACTATGATACAAGATTTAGGCAAATAAACTATAAAAACTTATGAATACATTTTAGAAGAATACCCCGACAAATAATTATGTCAATATATACACTTAAATTAGGCATAGATAAAAAAACTAAAACAAGAAATACTTATGTGAATAATGCAAATACACTAATGCAATTTCTCCTGCATGTCCAACCGGCGCGATCATTTTACAACAATTAGCTAAAAAGGAGGAGAATCGGGGCATACGCGTTTGACTATATAGTACAAATTATTCAACATATTGTATAGTTTAATAGGAAGCTTTTTTGTTGACACTGTTACTTTTGTCCCCGGTCTCCTCTATCGATTTTTGTATTTATTTATTTTCATTGCAGCACCCGCTGTAGTGCGCATGTTACAACATATAATTACCGATGAAGTATTTCGAAATGGTCTTATTAAATATTTACGCACGCAGTAAGTAATATATTCATCCTTTTATAGACTTTTGTGTGTGTAAAGTATTCAGTGTAAAAGTAATTCAACTTAAATGTAAAGTTTAAAAAACTGATGTTTCATCGTTAAGTTTCTCATAATAAATCTATCGATAAAACACTACAATATAAATTAAACCATTTTTGACATTTCTAAATGAATAACTCTTTATATTTTTCAACAAACTACTTTTATATTTTTTAATAAACAATGCAACAATTTAATAATTATCAGAAAACTAAAAAATTTATTACTTAAACAACGATAACTTATAAAATGATAAATATTACATGAGTTTATGCATTGCAAATAATCTTTGAAAATTTTACAAAACTTTATTCTAATCTTTCTCAGATTAAAACAATGAATCATTATTACATTTTGATTGCGTCGATATAAGATAATATATTCGATAATTTCAATTGCGGATTTGTTTATACTTATATGATTTGTTGCATTATAATTCTATTAACAAATCTATCTTGTATCTTTTACACTTTAGTCAGTTCAGTTCTGCTACTTCCGACGATTTATGGAACGCTTTGCAAGCAGTACTAGACACATCAGATGTCCCGCATGATGCTTATAGATTGAAAGAGGTAATGGATACTTGGATAAAACAATCGGATTTTCCTGTAGTTCATGTGACCCGAAAAAATGACACCAATGAGATAATATTAACGCAAGAATATTACGTTCCGGAAAATGAAAGTGAGAACGTCAATGATAATAAATGGTGGATACCTTTGACTTTTGCTACACAAACAAATCCTGATTTTTCTAATACCTTACCCACACATTGGCTAAAACCACAAGATCAATATATAACGATTGATGGAATTGATCCAAATGATTGGATCGTCAATTTACAACAAACGGGTGAGTATCTTTAATATACACTTTAATATTAATTTAATATAAAATTTGTAAATACGGATTTACTTTTCTATTCATGAAGATCAGTAATCATTAAATTTATAATTAATAATTTATCATTATTATCACATATTTTTAATTTCTATTTATTTTCTATAAATTTTTATTTTTATCTTTATTTTGTATATGCTCTTTATAATATTTACGTTTATAATGTATAATATAAATTTTCAACACGCACATATAAATGTGACAAATATTAAAATAAGAGTAAGGTATCACACACACACACACACACACACACACACACACACACACACACACGCACGCACGCACGCACGCACGCACGCACGCACGCACCGCACGCACGCACACGCCACGCACACGCACACGCACACGCACACGCACACGCACACGCACACGCACACGCACACGCACACGCACACGCACACGCACACGCACACGCACACGCACACGCACACGCACACGCACACGCACACGCACACGCACACGCACACGCACACGCACACGCACACGCACACGCACACGCACACGCACACGCACACGCACACGCACACGCACACGCACACCCACCGCACACGCACACGCACACCCACACGCACACGCACACACATATATTGGTTTGGTCAATAAGTCGGAACGGTTTTTGCCGATACATAGCTCTAATATTCCGAAAAGCAACTATATTCAATTCAAATCGTGAAAGTGTGCATTTCGTTCGATAGGTGATATTTCAAAGTGCATTTAAAAAAAAAACATAAAGATCAGTTGTGTTTTATGTGTTTAACATAATTCGAAAGATGGATAACAAAAACAAACATTTTCGCAATATTATGTTGTTTTATTTTAACAAAAGCAAAAACGCGGCACAACATCTAAAAGGATATGTGCGGTATATGGTAAGGATGCCGTGAAAGAACGTGTGTGCTAAAATTTCGTTTCGGAAATTTTTCTATCCAAGACGCATCACGCTCGGGTCGGCCAGTTGAGATTGATCAAGACAAAGTAAAGACGTTAATCGATTAATTCAGATGTATACTGTGGCCAGTTGGATAAATTTAACGCAGCGATTCACAAAAAACGTCCAGAATTGATGACTCCTAAAGACGTTGTTTTCCATTATGACAACGCCAGAACGCACATGTCTTTACAAACATGGTAAAGATTATTGGAGCTGGGCTATGATATCCTACCGCATGCTTCGTATTCTCCAGACCTTGTTCCTTCGAACTATAACTTGTTTTACTCCCTACAAAATTCCTTGAATGGACGGCGCTTTACTCCCGAAGATGACATCAAACGGCACTTAAAACAGTTTTTCGACGAAAAAGACAACAAATTCTACGAGCGAGGAATTATGAATCTGCCTGAAAGATAACAAAAGATAGTAGGTCAAAAGGACCAATACATTATTGATTAAGATTATTGCCTTCTATGTAAAAATTATCCATCATTTACATGTAAAAAAACACCGCATGGACTTATTAGCCAACCTAATATATGTATATATATATATAGATATATATATATATATATATATATATATATATATATAATATTAAAAAATATAAATTAAACTAAATTAAATTATCTTCTTAATAAATTATTAAATTATTTAATAAATTTTTGGCGTAATTTATAATTAACACGATACTTAAGAAACGAGCGAATAAGAGCCAAACGCGGATGGTAATGCGTAAATTTCTTGAACATTAATTGTTCGCGAAAATTTTTAACGTCACAAGGCATATACAGGGTGGGCCATTTTAAGTGATCCACTCAAATATTTCGGAAAATAATGAAAAATCAAAAAAATTTTTCAGATAAAAGTTGTATGGCTTGAAGGGGGCCATCAGCTAGTGGCAATGATTTGACCTTGGAGAGTCATTTGAAGATGACGTAAAGGTAACCTTCAATTTCTTAAATGGAACTCTCTATTTTTTATTACATATTCGTGTAGCTTATCTCGAGAGCTTTCCAAAACACTATAATAAAGTATTTCTTCATTGAGTACTTTTCGAGTTATGAGGCTTGAAATCATTTCTTAATTTTGTATAAACCGTAAAATATCTAGTAAAATATTCATTTTTCGATTATCTTGCTTTAATACTTTTATGTACAAAATAATGAGAGGAATCAATTGGTGTAAAAAAAACACATAGTTGTTTCAAAGAAAAAATATGTAATTGTTAATTGCAAATTACATATTTTTTCTTAAAAATAACTATGTGTTTTTTTTACACCAATTGATTCCTCTCATTATTTTGTACATAAAAGTATTAAAGCAAGATAATCGAAAAATGAATATTTTACTAGATATTTTACGGTTTATACAAAATTAAGAAATGATTTCAAGCCTCATAACTCGAAAAGTACTCAATGAAGAAATACTTTATTATAGTGTTTTGGAAAGCTCTCGAGATAAGCTACACGAATATGTAATAAAAAATAGAGAGTTCCATTTAAGAAATTGAAGGTTACCTTTACGTCATCTTCAAATGACTCTCCAAGGTCAAATCATTGCCACTATCTGATGGTCCCCTTCAAGCAATACAACTTTTGTCTGAAACATTTTTTTGATTTTTCATTATTTTCCGAAATATTTGGCTGGGGAAATTAAAATGGGCCACCCTGTATATACAAATATTTTACTTATGTAAATACCAAGATATAGATTATCATTTTTTGAGAAATTTATAAAACTCTCTTTACCTTCCCTGAAGAGATGTTGACAAGAAAAATATCGGGGCAAAGTCGCTAAATCGGGGCGAAGTCGCTAAAGAGGGTTTTATAGAATTTTCAAATATGTGAATTTATATCTTGGTATATACACCAAGTAAAATATTTGTATATATATGCTTTGTGCACGTTAAAAATATTCGCGAACAATTAATGTTTAAGAAATTTACACACTGCCATCCGTGTTTGGCTCTTATTCACTCGTTTCTTAAGTATCGTGTTATTTATTATACATAGAGCTGAATTCTTTATCAATTTATGTAATTTATAATATTATTTAATTTGATAATAGGATATTATCGTGTTAATTACGATTCTTCCATTTGGCAAAAAATTGGATTATCTTAAATCTGACAATTATACGAAAATCCATGTACTCAATCGTGCTCAAATTATCGATGACGCCTATCATTTTATGATGCTAAATAAACATGATATCATGATGTTTCTGAATATTATTAGTTATCTATCGCAAGAAACAGACTTTATAGCGTGGCATTCTATGTTTAAAATATTAAAATTTACAGAAGATATTTACAAAGTTCCAGAAAATGAAATTCTCAAAGTAAGTAGCATATAATAATTTGAAATTACTTATTAGTAATATAATTACTTAAGATGAAAAAATATATGTACACGTATATGCACGCGCACGTGTTTGGGCGTGTTTGATTTTGTATATCAAACATACAATGATTTTTCATATCAGTTATAAAATCAATTATAATATCAATTATAAAACGTTATAAAATTAAAATTATTATATAATTTTTCTAGTTATATATGCTCAAACTTTTGGAAGGTCTTATTAAAAACGTAGGATATGAAGAAGATCCTACCGAGAATGATCTTATGAAACTTAAAAGAATTGGAGCTTTAAAATGGGCATGTACTTTCGGTCATTCTGAATGCAAGAAAATGGCCACTGTTAAATTGAATGAATATTTCGCAGATCCTACGACACATAAGTAATTTTATTCTATTCATTAAATTCTAATTAGTTCTAATAAATTATTATAAAAATACATATGACATAATATTATTTACTTCATAAGTTATTAGGATTTTAAACACATATTCACATTAATGTGTGTGTGTGTGTGTGTGTGTGTGTGTGTGTGTGTGTGCGCGCGCGCGCGCGCGCTCGCGTGTTTGTGATATACATACCCGTCGATTTTTTTAAATTATATGTTATAGAGTTTCGCCAAATTTAAAAGAATGGATGTATTGTAATGGCTTTATGGAAGCAAACGCTTCTATTTTGAATAAGTTATACGATAAATTTGTAAATAAACCTGATGAAGAAGTTTTAATGTCCTTGGTTTGCTCTGACAATACTGATATTATAATTAATTTCTTGAACATATCTATATCGAACAATTCAATAACAAAAATTGATGATTACTATACAATTTATTCTTCTATTATCAAAAAACACGCAAAGAATAATATAGTAATCGACTATATATTAACCAATTTTAAAAATGTATTCCCAAGATATTTTAATAACATATTTAATATAAATTGTAAACACATATTTTAATTTTTATACTTATTTATTATAAATCTTTTAATTTTTTGCAGATCCAAGAATGCAAATAGTGCATTAAATGATATAATTGACAATGTGTATTCTAAAGAAAAACTTGACGAGGTAAATTTTATTATTCTAAATTTTACATTTTTATTTATTTATATTTAAATTTATTTACTCCATTTTTATACAAAATTGTAGACTTTATAATTTTTCGACAGTTTGCTATTGTTATTAAAATTTGATTAATTAAAATTGAAAAATATTTTTAGTTTTATTTAATAAATAATTACATTAATACAATAAATTATTTTCAAAGATTTGGTGAAATGATACAAAAAGGAGAAAATTTATTTCAAACAATAGTAATAGTTATATATTTTTCTATATGTATTACATTGATTTGTTAACACATTAGTTTTATATAGAATTATATAGAATGATGAAATTTAACTGAAGTTGTCATATCATGCTTTTATTACATAATACGACATTAAATTTCTAATAAGGTAAATATAAATTGTTTTTAGATAAGCGAATTTGTAAGAAATGAATTTGACGAGAAAGTATTCAAAGATGTTCAAGACAAGATAATAGAACGCATGGGATTGTTAGATACACTTGCCTCATTTCAACCTAATATAAAAGAGAAATTAAAATTATAAAATAATTATAATTAATTATAACAATTGCAAAACGTTTACTTATGTATATGTTTATTTATTTTTGATATTAATTTTAAAACTTGTCAGAAATTTTCCGTTTTTTAATTGAGAATATGTTTTATAAGATATATTATTTTATATTTCTTACTTTAATATTTTTCTAACCTTATTCCTCATAATTTTATATCTTTTGTCTTTTATTCAAATTATGTTCTATTTTCCATATAATATAGATCTCTCTGACTGAATATAATAAAATTATAAGTAAATCGAATTATAATTATAATTTGTATATATGTATATGTAATTATAAGTAAATAGAATTATAATTATAATTTGTATATATGTATATATCTATGTATGTATATATACATATGTATGCATTTTTCATAAGTATATTAAACTGTAACGAGAAATAGACGTTTCTTTTATATAATTCGATGTAACACATTGTGAATCATTCTGCTAGCGAACACGATAATAACAGCTATTACAGTTTTATATTTAGAAATTTATAAATAAAAAATTAATTAGCATTTATAAATAAATAATATTTCTTGAAGTTATTTGATCCATATGCAAGTTAATATATAGAATAAATATACTTTTATTGATAAATATACTTTATCTTAAAAAAAAGTCATGAAATTATTAATTTATATAGTTTTAATTTATTTTTAGCTTTTCGACATTATAAATCTTATACAGCATTGTATAGTATTACACAGATTCTAATTTACTTGCAAATTACTGTGACAATTAATATGACGCTATTACAATTGTTTTGAAAGTGTTCAATATGAAGTTAATGTTAACAATCAAAAGAATATTAAGGCTTTACATGTGAAAGCACAAATTTGAATTTTTGGGAGGAATAAAAGTTAAATGCGAATAATTATGCGTTAGTTTAATACAAAATTAAAAATTAAAACAAAAAATTGATTTAAATAAAGATATTTAAAAATTATTTAAAAATTGGCAAGTAAGATCCATTAAGATATGATAATTGGAGCGCAAGCAACAGGAAGAAGAACACCTTTCTTTTTCTTTTAATTATTAGTATATTTGATATTTTATAACTGTTCGTTACGATGTGCATTAAACACGAATGCCTCACTGGCTTTTACTTACTAATTTTTGATAAATTTTTTAACATAAAATTAATTTCATATTACTTTTCCGCTTGCCGAAAGACGAACTTCTTTTTCTCCTTAATTCTTTTTTCCTTTTTAGGAAAGAAAGAGAAATATTAAAATTAAATTATAAATTGGGATTTATTTATTTATTATAACAGAAAATTTCATTTGCTTTATTGTTTAAAATTTCCAAAAAACATATGTGTGACACCGATCCAATGAAATTTGTTACATGTAGATTGCTTTGATTGATATGTATCATGCCTGAATACATATAAGCATTTATTCCATATGTATATAAAAAAATGAACTTTCGAAGGAATGCATTACATGCCTTATATAATTACAACATATTAATATTTCAGTTATTTTTCGATTGTTTATTTGACTCCGTTTTAAACTACAAAGTTGAAAACGAAGCGAAAACAATAACATAAATATATTTAATGATGCCATATAACTTTGTTGAGGTCGAAAATAACAAACCTTCCCCGTGACTTTAAACGGCAAACGGCTTTAATTTCCTCGAGTTCGTCACTAACGGATTATATCTTGATCAGAGAAGACCAAATAATAGAACATACAAATTCACAGTCTTAATTTCATCTCGTAAGTAAAATAGCAATCAGTTATATGAGTAGAAGCAAGAAACAGGAAAAAGAACACCTTTCTTTTTCTTTTAATTATTAGTATATTTCATATTTTAAAATTGTTCGTACCGATATATCCAATAAACACGAATGCCTTACTGGCTTTTACTTACTAATTTTTGATAAATTTTTTAACATAAAATCAATTTCATATTACTTTCTCGTTTGCCAAAAGACAAACATTTTTTTCTTCTCTTAATTCTTTTTTCCCTGTTAGAAGAGAAAGAGAGATATTAAAATTAAATTTCGCAGGGAATTTATTAATTTACTATAAAAGAAAATTTGTTTTGCTTTATTGTTCAAAATTTCCATAAAACATATGTGTGACACCGATTCCGTGAAGTTTGGTACATGTAGATTGCATATGTATTATGCTCGAATATATATAAGCATTTATTTAATATGTACATAAAAAAATGAATGAGCGCAAGAAACAGGAAAAAGAACACCTCTTTTTTTTGTAGTTATTAGTATATTTCATATTTTATAATTGTGCGTACCGATATATGCTTTAAACACGAATGCCTTACTGGCTTTTACTTGCTAATTTTTGATAAGTTTTTTAACATCAAATTAATTTCATATTACTTTTCCGCTTGCCAAAAGACAAATTTTCTTTCCCCTTAATTCTTTTTTCCCTTTAAGAAAGAAAAAGAGATATTAAAATTAAATTATAAATTGGGATTTATTAATTTACTATATCAGAAAATTTGTTTTGCTTTATTGTTCAAAATTTCCAAAAAATATATGTGTGACACCGATCCCATGAAGTTTGTTACATGTAGATTGCAAATGTATTATGCTCGAATATATATAAGCACTTATTCCATATGTATATAAAAAAATGAACTTTGGAGAGAATGCATTACATGCCTTATATAATTACAACATATTAATATTTCAGTTATTTTTTGATTGTTTATTTGATTGTTTTTTTCCGTTAAACTACAAAGTTGAAAACGAAACGAAAACAACAACATAAATATATTTAACGATGCCATATAACTTTGTTCAGGTCGAAAATAACAGACCTTTCCTGTGACTTTAAACAGCAAACGGCTTTAATTTCATGGACTTCGTCACTAATGATATCTTGATCAGAGAAGACCAAATAATAAAACATATAAATTCACAGTCTTAATTTCATTTCGTAAGTAAAATAGCAGTTATATGAATAGATATTGAAATTTGAAAGTTTCTTTTAAAATATTATATGTATTATTTCTTTATTTATTATTTATTATTATTATCTATTTTATTTTTTTATTATTTTACTATTTCCTTTTGCTTTCATTATTTTTATAATAAGATCTTTATGCTTACACCTTATACTCTCTAAAACTCATATAAAATAAAATATAAAAGCAAAATTATATTTTATATTATATTATTTTTATTTTAAAAATATTTTTGTACAGATATTCAAAAGGAGGTGTGACATGGCTACTTTGAAATTTTTAATAAATATTAGCCTTATATTTACTGCTACAGCGACTTTGTATGATCAAAATTCAAGCAATGATTTGATTCCTGTTCAGGAAGATTCAAGCAATGATTCGGTGATTAATTACCGTTTACCAGCTAATGTAGTTCCGGTACATTACAATATTAAGCTAATACCATACATTGTGGAAGATAATTTTACCTTTGAAGGAGAATCCAATGTTAACATCACAATTCGTCATGTAACGCAAACCTTGAGTTTACACGTTTTGGAATTGACAATAAACGAAACAGAGACATCGTTGTTTGATAATAATGGTATTATCTATACACCGGCAATGTATAATTATGACAATATAACACAAATCTTAGTTCTTAATTTCAATGATGAGCTGTCACCTGGAAATTATATTTTGAAAATGCGATATGTTGGTATCCTACATAACGACTTGAAAGGCTTTTTCATATCATCTTATATAAACGAGGAAGGAAATGATGTGTAAGTAAATATCAGTATCTGAAAGTTTTTTTCTACTATCATATATAATATTATTTTTAATTATTTATTATTATTATTATTAATTTGCTACGTTTATTAACATTATGTTCTTTTAATATGCTATAATCTTTAACTACTATATGAAATGTATAATTTAATGTGGAATTGTGTGTGTGTTTATTGTAATTTCATAATTGCATATATATATATATATATATATATATCTACTTCACCTATGCAATATTTTAAATACTTGTCTACATAATATTGTGCATTCTTGTTAATATAATAATATATTTTCTTATATTTTAAATTTTTTATAAAATTTTGAAGTATAATTTTATTCTAATTTTTTTGAAATACAAATCTAATAATATTTTAAATATAAATTTTAAGAAAATTTTTGAGAGTGTTGTGTGTATTATTATGTGTATTATTATGTGTATTATTATATTTAATTACGTTCAATAATTGATAACTATTTAATAAAATGTAACAAAGTGCGATTAACAGATTTTTGAAAAATTACACAAATGAATTTTGACAAACTTTATTACTTTATTTAGTAGTGTTAATATATGTTAATAATATATAGCGTATCTCCTAACTTTACAAAAATATTATGTACCATTGTTCAAACGTCAATCTCATTTATGTGTTTCCATATTTAAGTTATGCATCTTTATTTGTCATCATTCATGGTAACAGAAAATTTCATAATCAAAATCGTATCATTGAAATGTGGTAGGTGGTTTGCCGCAACGTATTTCGAACAGACTTTTGCGCGACGAGCATTCCCATGTTGGGACGAGCCAGCATTAAAAGCTACTTTCGATATCTCCATAAAACATCATCGAAATTATACAGTTCTATCCAATATGCCAATACGGAAACAATTGGACGGTGGTAACAAAGACGGCATAATATGGACGCATTTTGACACGACTCCCATCATTTCTACCTATCTCGTAGCGTTTGTAGTGGCCGATTTTGTTCGCGTTCCTACTGAAGATGAGACCATTAATCTATGGTGTAGATCGAAATTGGTACCGGACACAAAACTTGCACAAGAAGTTGTCCAAAAATCTAAAACGCTATTGACAGAATATACCAACAGCACCTCTAAAGTTCCAAAAATGGATCTCGTAGCACTCCCGCGATTCACAGTTGGTGCAATGGAAAATTGGGGACTTATTATTGTTGTGTAATATATGCAAAAAATATCAATAGAATAAGATATATTTCAGATATCTTGTGTCATATAAATTGAAATTTTTTTCAACTTTTGCGAAATTAATAATTCTGTATAATTAGTATTGAACTATATTATAACTATAGAATTTCACGATAGAATATATTATTTATTTATTGAAAATTATAATTATTATTTAATGTGTTCTTTTTTATAATAATAGAAATTATTATTTTTTTTAATAAAAAGCGAGGTTTAAAAAATTTTTTGGTTTTTTTAATAATTTAAGGTTGAATTCAAAATTAAATTTTTTTCTTTTGAATAATTTCAAAAGGATATAAATGCGGACAGACACGCACGCGTACATACACATATATACATATGAAAGAATAAAAATATAATTGAATTAATTTGGATTATACAAAAGTTGAAAATGATATAAATTAAAGGAATATATATATAGTATAAAATGTTTAAAATACGATTACGTAATTATAAAATATTTTGACGTGTACATAACATTTATATCATATTTTTTTAGTGAAACATACTTTGCATACAATGAAAGTGTCAATACAATACATGGTAAACTAGTTGTTGCAATGACAACAACACATGAAATGGCGCATCAGTGGCTTAGTAATGTAGTCACTCCATTATGGTGGTCTCAGACATGGTTAAGTGAAGGATTTGCGACATTCTTCCAAATGTATATTCTCAATCAGGTAAATTCATTATTGCAAGTTTTATTTGAATATAAGTGAGCATTTTCGCAAAAAAGTTTCTATTATTAAATTTATTAAATTCAAATATAATATAATACAGTTGAATCATTCATGATTTTATATATGAAAAACTATTGTATCTATCTAGTAATAGTAATGTCTCTAGTAATCTCTAATAATTTCAGATTATGAATATTTGAGAATTTAAAAACAGATTTGAAACAGATTTCTCTAAAAATATTATATTATTACATGTACAACATTATATTATTACATGATATTATTATATGTCATAGTAAATGATATTCTATTATTAATGTATAATATTGACTTTTTAATTTCAATCAAACTTTATTTGATTGATATTAAAACTTATGTATATTTCAGATGTTTGAGGATTTGCGAATAATGGAATACTTTGTTGTTGGTATTCAGCAAACAATTCTTCACAAGGATATTAATATGAGTATGACACCAATTACATTAGATGTTAGTAGCCCAGAAGAAATTAAATCACTCTTCCTTGATTCCAGTTATGGCAAAGGTAAGATAGAGTAAATAAATCATCATCCTCAAATTTCGGAATGTAGATGATTTAAAGTAAAAAAAACAATAAAATAAAATACATTTTTTTACTGTTGACATGTAATGTTCTTTATCACAATGATCAACCTCTTCTATTAGCTATGTTTACGAATTGGATTTTTGTATATTTTATCATATAAGGAAGACCGGGCGCAAAAGTAACATTTTTTTTGTATTATAGGTCATTAATTAATTATCGTTAGAGATATAAAAAAAAGATTATATGTAGAAAGACTCCATTTATTGCTCTATTATTATACCTCTGTTTCAATCTCAAATGATAAATATTTAAAGAATTATTATAGCTTTTCGCAAGTACGTTGACTGTTACTTTTGTTCTGGAGGTCTGAGACGAAAGTAACATAGACTGGGAATGAAAGTAATAGTTCGTATTTTCGGAAAATAAATTAAATATAACTTTTTTAAATTTAAGGCAACTTTTATTATAATCTTCTATTAAACATGATAACTTTTATTATAAACTTTTATTATAAACAAGATAACTTGTATTATATTATATTAAAATAAAAAATAAAATAAATATTTATTTTTATCATCTTTAAACGTAAAAGAAATAGTCTTCGTTAAGCAAAATAATTATAAGTAATATCGTAAAATAATTATACTTAATATCACACTAGTTTTGTACTTTTTTAAGTCTAAATAATAGTTTAATTCTAAATAATAATGTAAAAATTGAAATATGATGAATACTTATACAAAAGAGATTGATATATATTCTCAATCACAATTATGGCATTCGTAATAAGAATTGCCTTCGGTATAGTTGTTATGGGACCAGTTTTTATGCTTTAAGCATTGAAACATGTTATTTTCGTCCACAGAATGTCGTGTTACTTTCATCCCCAAACACATTTTTTAGAATAAAAGCATTATAACCTAAATATGATGCAAGACTTAGTCAAATGAACTATAAAAACTTATGAATACATTTTAGAAGAATACACCGACAAATAATTATGTCAATATATACACTTATACTTTAATTAGACATAGATACAAAAAAACTAAAACAAGAAATACTTAGGTGAATAATGCAAATACACTAATTTCATTCCTGCATGTGCAACCGGCGCGATCATTCTACAACAATTAGCTGAAAAGGAAAAGAATCGGGGCATACGCGTTTGACTATATAGTACAAATTATTCAACATATTGTGTAGTTTAGTAGGAGGCTTGTTACTTTTTTGTTGACGCCGTTACTTTTGTCTCCAATCTCTCCTATCGGTTTTTGTATTTATTTATTTTTATTGCAGCACCCGCTATAATGCGCATGTTACAACATATAATTACCGATGAGGTATTTCGAAATGGTCTTATTAAATATTTACGCACGCAGTAAGTAATATATTCATCCTTTTATAGAAATTTTGCATGTGTGAAGTATTCAGTGTAATAGTAATTTAACTTAAAAGTAAAAAGTTTAAACTGATGTTTCATCGTTAAGTTGCTCATAATAAATCTATCGATAAAACACTATACAAGTTAAACTATTTTTTACATTTCTAAATGAATAACTCATTATATTTTTCAACAAACTACTTTTATATTTTCCAATAAACAATGCAACAATTTAATAATTATTAGAAAACTAAAAATTTTATTATTTAAACAAGGATAACTTATAAAATGATAAATATTACATGAGTTTAAGCATTGCAAATAATCTCTGAAAATTTTACAAAACTTTATTCTAATCTTTCTCAGAGTAAAACAATGAATCATTATTATATTTTGATTACGTCGATATAAGATATATTCGATAATTTCAATTGTGGATTTATCTATACTTATATGACTTGTTGCATTATAATTCTATTAACAAATCTATCTTGTATTTTTTACTTTAGTCAGTTTAGTTCTGCTACTTCCGACGATTTATGGAACGCTTTGCAAGCAGTACTAGACACATCAGATGTCCCACATGATGCTTATAGATTGAAAGAGATAATGGATACTTGGATAAAACAATCGGATTTTCCTGTAGTTCATGTGACCCGAAAGAAAGACACTAATGAGATAATATTAACGCAAGAATATTTCGTTCTGAAAAATGAAAATGAGAACGTCAATGATAATAAATGGTGGATACCTTTGACTTTTGCTACGCAAACAAATCCTGATTTTTCTAATACCTTACCCACTCATTGGCTAAAACCACAAGATCGATATATAACGATTGATGGAATTGATCCAAATGATTGGATTATCGTCAATTTACAACAAACGGGTGAGTATCTTTAATATATACTTAATATTAATTTAATATAAATTTTTAAATTCGGATTTACTTTTCTATTCATGAAGACCAGTAATCATTAAATTTATAATTAATAATTTATCATTATTATTACATATTTTTTAATTTCTATGTATTTTTTACAAATTTTTATTTTTATCTTTATTTTGTACATACTCTTTATAATATTTACATTTACAATGTATAATATAAATTTTCAACATGCATATATAAATTTGACTAATATTAAAATAAATGAAAACTATCACATATATATATATATATATATATATATATATATACATACATATATATATACACACATATACATATATATATAAACTTACCCGCAAAAAAAGCGGACCACGAAATTTTAACAATTTTTTCACATTTTCAAGTAGCGATAAGTCAGCAAATAATCATTGTATCGAAATGAAACAAAGCTCAAATTAAAGCTTGAACATTTCTCTTAAAAACCAGAAAAACCAAGTTGAAATTACAAAAAATGTTTTTTGGCGGACGTTGAAGATAGCCTTCGAAAAATAGGAAATAAATTTTTTTTTTAACTGTTGCGTTGCTCAGGAGAATCTACACGCTAATACATAAATGTATGAATTTTGAAGCTCATTTATTTCTTAACAAATTCATATTTTAAACAATTTTCTTCACGACTTTTTTTAACAAAGTTATACTGATTTGAAGAAAATGTTGCAAAATTGGCCTTTTCACCGCAACGCTTTGCAAGAAGAATCGAACAATTTAAAACAGAAAAAATTTAAAACAGGAAGAAATTTGATTAACAGTATACTCCGACAAATCGAAGAATTGATAAATGTGAAAGAAGGCAATATGCATTATTAAACACACGCACACACGCATGCACACGCACGCACGCACGCACACACGCACACACGCACGCACATACATGGGATCAGATTCGTGCCACGTCCACGTCGTTGATAATAACATCTGGATAATGCCAATAGCAGGATACATGCATATGCATATGTACACGCACGCACTCACACAAGATTTAAATCCAACCATATGGATCATCTTGGGTCGAGAAGAAAATGACCATTTTGCAACATTTTCTTCAAAACAATATAACTTTATTAAGAAAGCTCCTAGACGATTGTTTAAAATATAGATTTGTTAAGAAATAAATGAGCTTCAAAACTCATACATTTGTATCAACGTATAGATTCTCCTGAGCAACGCAACAGTTTTAAAAGAAAATTTGTTTCGCATTTTCCAAAGGCTATCTTCAACGTCCGCGATTTTATAAAATTTTTTGTAATTCCAATTTGGTATTCTTGGTTTTTAAGAGTTCGAACTTTAATTAAAGCTTTATTTCATCTCGATACGATGATTTTTTGCTGATTTATTGCTATTTAAAAATGTGAAAAAATTGTGTTAAAATTTAGTGGCTCGTTTTTTCTGCGGGTGAATGTATATATATATATATATATATATATATATGTATATATATATATATATATATATACATATATATATATATATATGTATATATATATATATATATATATATATATACAAATAAAATATTAAAAAATATAAATTAAATTAAATTAAATTTTCTTTTTAATAAATTATTTAATTATTTAATTATTTAATAAATTTTAGCGTAATTTATAATATTATTTAATTTGATAATAGGATATTATCGTGTTAATTACGATTCTTCCATTTGGCAAAAAATTGGGGATTATCTTAAATCTGACAATTATACGAAAATCCATGTACTCAATCGTGCTCAAATCATCGATGACGCCTATCATTTTATGATGCTAAATAAACATGATATCATGATGTTTCTGAATATTATTAGTTATCTATCGCAAGAAATAGACTTTATACCGTGGTATTCTATGTTTAAAATATTAACACTTACGGAAGATATTTACAAAGTTCCAGAAAATGAAATTCTCAAAGTAAGTAGCATATAATAATTTGAAATTACTTATTAGTAATATAATTACTTAAGATGAAAAAATATATGTACACGTATATGCACGCGCACGTGTTTGAGCGTGTTTGATTTTGTATATCAAACATACATTGATTTTTATCAATTATAAAACGTTGTAAAATTAAAATTATTATATAATTTTTCTAGTTATATATGCTCAAACTTTTGGAAGGTCTTATTAAAAACGTAGGATACGAAGAAGATCCTACCGAGAATGATCTTATAAAACTTAAAAGAATTGGAGCTTTAAAATGGGCATGTACTTTCGGTCATTCTGAATGCAAGAAAATGGCCACTGTTAAATTGAATGAATATTTCGCAGATCCTACAACACATAAGTAATTTTATTCTATTCATTAAATTCTAATTAGTTCTAATAAATTATTATAAAAATACATATGACATAATATTATTTACTTCATAAGTTATTAGGATTTTAGACACATATTCACATTAATATGTGTGTGTGTGTGTGTGTGTGTGTGTGTGTGTGTGTGTGTGTGTGGGTGGGTGGGTGGGTGTGTGTGTGTGTGTGGGTGGGTGGGTGGGTGGGTGTGGGTGTGGGTGGGTGGGTGGGTGCGCGCGCGCGCGCGCGTTTATGTATATACATACCCGTCGATTTTTTTTTATTATATGTTATAGAGTTTCGCCAAATTTAAAAAAATGGATGTATTGTAATGGCTTTATGGAAGCAAACGCTTCTATTTTGAATAAGTTATACGATAAATTTGTAAATAAACCTGATGAAGAAGTTTTAATGTTCTTGATTTGCTCTGACAATACTGATATTATAATTAATTTCTTGAACATATCTATATCGAACAATTTAACAAAAATTGATGCTTACTATATAATTTATTCTTCTATTATCAAAAAACACGCAAAGAATAATATAGTAATCGACTATATATTAACAAATTTTAAAGAATTATTCCCAAGGTATTTTAATAACATATTTAATATTAATTGTAAACACATATTTTAATTTTTATATTTATTCATTATAAATCTTTTAATTTTTTGCAGATCCAAGGATGCAAATAGTGCATTAAATGATATAATTGACAATGTGTATTTTAAAGAAAAACTTGACGAGGTAAATTTTATTATTCTAAATTTTACATTTTTATTTATTTATATTTAAATTTATTTACTCCATTTTTATACAAAATTGTAGACTTCATAATTTTTCGACAGTTTGCTATTGTTATTAAAATTTGATTAATTAAAATTGAAAAATATTTTTAGTTTTATTTAATAAATAATTACATTAATACAATAAATTATTTTCAAAGATTTGGTGATACAAAAAGGAGAAAATTTATTTCAAACAATAGTAATAGTTATATATTTTTCTATATGTATTACATTGATTTGTTAACACATTAGTTTTATATAGAATTATATAGAATGATGAAATTTAACTGAAGTTGTTATATCATGCTTTTATTACATAATAAGACATTCAATTTCTGATAAGGTAAATATAAATTGTTTTTAGATAAACGAATTTGTAAAAAATGAATTTGAAGAGAAAATATTCAAAGATGTACAAGACAAAATAATAGGACGCAAGGAACTGCTAGATACACTTGTCTCATTTCAACCACCTAATATAAAAGAGAAATTAAAATTATAAAATAATTATAATTAATTATAACAATTGCAAAACGTTTACTTATGTATATGTTTATTTATGTTTGATATTAATTTTGAAACTTGTCAGAAACTTCCCGTTTTTCAATTGAGAATAAGTTTTATAAGATATACTATTTTATATTTCTTACGTTAATATCTTTCTAAGCTTAGTCTTCATAATTTTATTCCTTTTGTCTTTTATTCAAATTATGTTTTATATTCCATATAATTTAGAGCTCTCTGACTGAATATAATAAAATTATAAGTCGAATTATAATTATAATTTGTATATATGTATTTGTAATTATAAGTAAATAGAATTATAATTATAATTTGTATATATGTATATATCTATGTATGTATATATACATATGTATGAATTTTTCATAAGTATCTTAAACTGTAACGAGAAATAGACGTTTCTTTTATATAATTCGATGTAATACATGGTGAATCATTCTGCTAGCGAACACAATAATAACTATTACAGCTATTACAGTTTTATATTTAGAAATTTATAAATAAAAAATTAATTTGCATTTATAAATAAATAATATTTGTTGAAGTTATTTGACCCATATGCAAGTTAATATATAGAATAAATATACTTTTATTGATAAATATACTTTATTTTAAAAAAAGTCATGAAATTATTAATTTATATAGTTTTAATTTATTTTTAGCCTTTCGACATTATAAATCTTATATAGCATTGTATAGTATTACAGATTCTAATTTACTTGCAAATTACTATGACAATTAATATGACGCTATTACAATTGTTTTGAAAGCGTTCAATATGAAGTTAATGTTAACAATCAAAAGAATATTAAGACTTTACATGTGAAAGCACAAATTTGAATTTTTGGGAGGAATAAAAGTTAAATGCGAATGATTATGGGTTAGTTTAACATAAAATTAAAAATTAAAATAAAAAATTGATTTAAATAAAAATATTGAAAAATTATTTAAAAATTGGTAAGTAAGATTCAGTAAACTATGATAATTGAAGCGCAAGGAAGAAGAACATTTTTCTTTCTCTTTTAGTTATTAGTATATTTTATATTTTATAATTGTTCGTTACGATATATGCATTAAACACGAATGCCTCACTAGCTTTTACTTTCCAATTTTTAATAAATTTTTTAACATAAAATTAATTTCATATTACTTTTTCGATTGCCAAAAGACAAATTTTCTTTTTTCCCTTAATTCTTTTTTCCTTTTTAGGAGAGAAAGAGAGATATTAAAATTTATTAAATTACAAATTAGGATTTATTAATTAACTATAAAAGAAAATTTGTTTCACTTCATTGTTCAAAATTTCCAAAAAACATATGTGTGACACCGACCCCATGAAGTTTGTCACATGTAGATTGCATATGTATTATGCTCGAATATATATAAGCATTTATTCAATATGCATATAAAAAAATGAATTTTCGAGAGAATGCATTACATGCCTTATATAGTTACAACATATTAATATTTCAGTTTCTTTTTGATTGTTTGTTTGACTCTGTTTTAAACTACAAAGTTGAAAACAAAGCGAAAACAACAACATAAATATATTTAACGATGCCATATAACTTTGTTGAGGTCGAAAATAACAGACCTTTCCCGTAACTTTAAACGGCAAACGGCTTTAATTTCATGGAGTTCGTCACTAACGGATGATATCTTGATCAGAGAAGACCAAATAATAAAACACACAAATTCACAGTCTCAATTTCATTTCGTAAGTAAAATAGCAATCAGTTATATGAATAGATATTGAAATTTGAAAGTTTCTTCTAAAATATTATATGTATTGTTTCTTTATTTATTATTTATTATTATTATCTATTTTATTATTTTATTGTACTATTTTGTTTTACTGTTTTATTTTGTATTTTATTATTTTACTGTTACTTTTGCCATCATTATTTTTATAATAAGATCTTTATGTTAAGATCTTATGGTCTCTAAAACTCATATAAAATAAAATATAAAAGCAAAATTACAGTTTACATTATATTATTTTTATTCTAAAAATATTTTTGTACAGATATTCGAAAGGAGACTTGACATGGCTATTTTGAAATTTTTAATAAATATTAGCCTCATATTTACTGCGACAGTGATTTTGTATGATTCAAGCAACGATTTGATTTCTGTTCAGGAAGATTCAAGCAATGATTCGGTGATTAATTACAGTTTATCAGATAATGTAGTTCATTACAATATTAAGTTAATACCGTACATTGTGGAAGATAATTTTACCTTTGAAGGAGAATCCAATGTTAACATCATAATTCGTCATGTAACGCAAAACTTGAGTTTACATGTTTTGGAATTGACAATAAACGAAGCGGAGACATGGTTGTTTGATAACAATGGTATTGTCTATACACCGACAACGCATAATTATGACAATATAACACAATTTTTAGTTCTTAATTTCAATGATAAACTGTCACCTGGAAATTATATTTTAAAAATGCGATATGTTGGTTTTTACATAAAGACTTGGAAGGATTTTTCATATCATCTTATATAAATGAGGAAGGAAATATGATGTGTAAGTAAATATTAGTATATGAATGTATTTTCTAATATCATATATATTATTATTTTTTATTATTTATTATATATTATTATATATTTGCTACGTTTATTATCATTATATTCTTATAATATGCTATAATTTTTAAATACTATCTAAAATATATGATTTAATGTGAAATTGTGTGTGTGTGTATTTAATATTGTAATTTCATAAATGCATGTATATCTGATGGGAGAAAGTTCTGTAACGGTCAAATATCTTGGAAAATAATGATTATGGAAGAAAATGTTCCATACAAAAGTTTTAGTATATGAAATGGTCTATTATATGATTATATTAAAATGACCTTCATGTGACCTTGAAGGACACCGTGAAGGTCAACTTTGAAATCTTAAATGGAAACTCCTATTTTCTATTACATATTCTTAAAGCTGGTGTCAAGACGTTTCTGAAACACTGGTTACAAACCCTTTTTGCTTGAGATCTTTCTGAGTTACGAATCTTCAAAGTTTAATTATCGCCGGCGCGTTATCTAAGGTGTACCGCGTGGAGGTGGCACGGTCGGATATCCACCTCTTAAAAAATAAACATATATAAAATGTTTTATATTAGATTACGTCATTATAAAATATATTGACATGAACATTTATATAATATTAACATTTATATAATATTATTTTAGTGAAACATACTTTGCATACAATGAAAGTGTCAATGCAATATCTGATAAAATAAATGTAGCAGTGACTACAACACATGAAATGGCGCATCAATGGCTTAGTAATGTAGTCACTCCATTATGATGGTCTCAGATATGGTTAAGTGAAAGATTTGTGACGTATTTCGAACTATATATTCTCAATCAGGTTCATTATTGCAAGTTTTGTTTGAATGTAGGTAAGCACTTTCGCAAAAACGCTTCTTAAATTCAATATACTATAACACAGTTAAATCATTCATGATTTACTATATGAAAAACTATTGTATCTCTCTGGTCGTAGTAATCTCTCCAATAATTTCTAATAATTTTAGATTATGACTATTTAAGAATTTAAAAACAGATTTAAAACACATTTCTCTAAAAACATTGATATTATTACATGTCGTAGTAACTGATACTTTATTATTAATTTTTAATATTGAATTTTTTAATTTCAATCCAATTTTAATTAATTGAAATTAAAACTTATGTATATTTCAGATGTTCGTTGATTGGCGAATAATGGAATACTTTGTCGTTCATGATCAGCGAACAATTCTTCATAAAGATATTGATATGAATGTAAACTCAATTATATTAGAAGTTAATAGACCCGAAGAAATTAAATCACTTTTCTTTGACTCCAGTTACGGCAAGGGTAAGATAGTGTAAATAAATCATCCTCAAATTTCTGAACATGAGATGATCTAAAGTAAAAAAAACAATAAAATAAAATATATTTTTTACTGTTAAAATGTACTCTTTATTACAATGCTCAATTTCTTTTATTAGCTATGTTCACAAATTTATAGATGCTAATTTATAGATGTAGTTTATCACATATCGACTTTTGTATTTATTTATTATCATTTCAGCGCCCGCTATAGTGCGCATGTTACAACATATAATTACTGATGAGGTTTTTCGAAATGGTCTTATTAAATATTTGCATACGCAGTAAGTAATATATTTATCTACCAATTTTTTACTGAAATTCAGTGTAATAGTAATTCAACTTAAAAGTAAAAAGTTTAAACTGATGTTTCTCGTTATTTTTATCGCTAAATTGTTCATATAATAAATCTATCAATAAAACATAATATAAGTGAAACTATTTTTTACATTTTTAATTGAACAATATTTTACATTTTTCAATAAACAACACAACTATTTAATAATTATCAGAAAATAAAAAATTTTCTACTAAAACTTTTAAACAAAAATAACTTATAAAATGATATAAATAGAATGCGTTTACAGATAATCCCTAAGAATTTTAGAAAATATTTTCTAATCTTATTCAGAATAAAAAAAATTAATCATTATTACATTTTCAATGCTTCGGTATAAGATATTTGACAGTATTAATTGTAGATTTATCAATATTTATATAACTTATTGCATTATAATTCTCTTAACAAATCTATCTTTCATCTTTTATAAGTTAGGCAGTTCAGTTTGGCTACTTCCGATGATTTATGGAACGCTTTGCAAGCAGTGCTAGATAAATCAGATGTGCCGCATAATGTTTATAGATTGAAAGAGGTAATGGATACTTGGATAAAACAATCGGATTTCCCTATAGTACATGTGACTCGAAAGAAAGCTACCAATGAGATAATACTAACGCAAGAACATTTTGTGTGTGTGTGTTTCGAAAAATGAAGGTGAGAACGTCAATGATAATAAATAGTGGATACCTTTGACTTTTGCTACGCAAACAAATCCTGATTTTTCTAATACCTTACCCACTCATTGGCTAAAACCGCAAGATCGATATATAACGATTGATGGAATTGATTCAAATGATTGGATTATCGACAATTTACAACAAACGGGTGAGTCT